AATGGCCACTAAATGAATGCCATCTTTTATAAGCAAGTAAATCTAGCTTCACTCTTAAATGGCATTCGTAAATAAAAGTCCTGTCATACAAACTAATGTTTTGCTGACAAGCTCTGGATAGCTGAATATTCCTCTAGAAACTCTGACTCTGGCTAATTTGATTATGTGCAATATAAAATGTGAAGCTGCATTTGTTTCAAGACGAATGTACTAAGGAAACTTATTCATGGCAATTAAATAACAGCTATTATGATGTAAAAAGGACATGTTTTGTCCTTGGTCTTTTTGTAAATCTTGTTCTCTCTGAACACATCATTAAGAATGTCCGGAAATTAATCAATCCTATTACATTCACGAGTCATTAATTTACGTTCGTCGTAGTCATTCTTTGTACATGGGTACTAAACATGTATATGTGTTAAAAGATGTTAAGATTGGCAATATTACACCACATAACATTTTCAGCAAGCCTACTTATGTCATTTGATTTATGACAAACTGTTATGCACAAACTATGCATCGGAGAATATAATTTTATATGCACCAGCCTACTATTCGTAGAAATCGAGCAGTAGAACATCGCGGAATGTCATCGATGCAATTGCGTCAAACAAAAAAATATTCACATTTACATTCCATTGTTGAAAAATGTTCTAAGTATCAGTTTTTCAATCCTTAGTTACATTTAATTTCTTGTTTGTGTAATATATATTTAATTGAACCTGATCATTAGGCCATAAACGATAGTGACAGCGCTTTAAAAAAATTGTTGTTCAATTTGAGCGTTTATTATTTTATGAAAACTTGAATGATTAATCACTGTTTATTGTTCATATTGAAACCACTTTATCATATCTTCATCATTACTTCGTTTATTTTCTCGTTTGCCGTATCATTAATTTATCAATCTCTAACTTTTATGTTATTCTTCAAGGAATAATACATAATAATAGTTATCAACACGACCACTGATCCTGCCAGAAACCTGAGTTAAAATTAACAACGAGAAATATACAACATGTGTAACCTGTTGATGTATTATGATATGGACCTGCTCTAACAAATCAGATAAATCTATCAAAAATCTCAGTTCTTTGTTATAAAAAATAACAATTGTCAGAAATTGTCATGTTGTTCTGGAGGATTCGCCTGTTTATGTAAAACATATACCATTGAAGATGCGTAACAACGATACCAGGAAATATCGGCCTACCACTGGAAAATTATATGGAAATATGTACTGTAGGATTTATAAGACGATTTCCGAACGCTTAAAGAAAAAAGGAACACGTAGTGACGTTAAGGTGAACCCAATATAAAGTACATGTACCCTGTGGTTATATTTCCACATAATTACAATGTATTCCAAAGACAATTGGTAATGTAACAATAGTGCCGCATTAGTAATGTAACAATAGTGCCGCATTAGTAACGACCATCGTGTCCCATTAGCTAGGAGATTGTGAATAAATAGCTGTGAGCCACAAATATCTAATTTGAAGAAATAGCACACCAATTTTTCACCGCAAAGCCCAAGTGTGTATATCAGTTTTCATTAAAGACGGTTCAACTGTGGGATATATATATATATATTGTATGTATTGTATATATATTGTTGAATCTCTATTTACACCTTCTTCGTCAATCGGCAACTCACGGCAGATGCAATAAATGAATGTCTTTTTCTGAAGTGTCCTCTGCAGCAAGCCCCCTTGTATGACGTTTCCGCGTAACATTGTCGCGTAACACTACAACTTGAATTTAGCTCATAGTTTTAGAACCATTGGGGTTATAATCCCAGCTCTCAATTAATACTATTTTATAATTATCCGGTAACATTTTTCATCATTTCATTTAATATAGTATTAGTTTATATTTTGGTTTGGTTTTACACGTTTGAAGTTCGGAACGACCAGCCTATGATGTACAGGTCACCATTAAAACACTCTGATCTGTTTCACCGTTTTTCATATTCCATTTTCTGAAACGTCTTACAAATTGTAATATGGATGCTAAATAATGACAGTTTTCATTCTTTAGAGAGTTGCTTCTGGAGTCACAAGCAATAGTATTGCGAAAGATAGTGCTCGTTATTACTTGTATTGGCTATGATTACATGGTCCATTAGCTAGCTAAAAACGATAATTTCGTATTGTCACTGCCATGTTCAAGATTAGCTTTGCTGTAAATCTATATGTGAAATATACAGAACGTTGTATAGTTGAAATTATTCGTTAAAACATAAATTGGTTGGAATAAAAACATAAAACATAAAAACAGGAAAGATGACTCAAGTCATGTTTCCCAATGAACAATAATGTATGAATCTTGCTCTTTACATTAACGTCAAAAGAGGGAGTAATCCTTGTTTTATGAACTTTTATTGATTATAACACTAAGTAAATCCTAATCCTAATTTAAGGTCTTACTAATGGTTCATTAATGATCACAGCTTAGTAATTACAGTGTCTGCTAATTTAAGATTACCAGTCAGTACTAGTAATTGTTTTTGTGGCCAGATATATTTTCATGTCCATGGTAGTCACTGAAAAATTTTTAAATGATTTTATCATTAAATTTTAAATGATTATGTTATCATTATATTGTAAATGATTATGTTATCATTATATTGTAAATGATTATGTTATCATTATATTGTAAATGATTATGTTATCATTCATTATATTGTAAGTGATTATGTTATCATTATATTGTAAATGATTATGTTATTTTTATATTGTAAATTATTTTTTTATTATTATATTGTAGGTGATTATGTTATCATTATATTGTAAGTGATTATGTTATCATTATATTGAAATGATTATGTTATCATTATTTTGTAAATGATTATGTTATCATTAATTATATTGTAAATGATTATGTTATCATTATATTGTAAATGATTATGTTTTCATTATATTGTAAATGATTCTGTTATCATTATATTGTACATGATTATGTTATCATTATATTGTAAGTGATTATGTTATCATTATATTGTACATGATTTTGTTATCATTCATTATATTGTAAATGATTATGTTATCATTATATTGTACATAATTATGTTATCATTATATTGTAAATGATTATGTTATCATTATATTGTACATGATTATGTTATCATTATATTGTACATGATTGTTATCATTATATTGTAAATGATTATGTTATCATTATATTGTAAATGATTATGTTATCATTATATTGTACATGATTATGTTATCATTATATTGTAAGTGATTATGATATCATTATATTGTACATGATTATGTTATCATTATATTGTACATGATTATGTTATCATTATATTGTACATGATTATGTTATCATTATATTGTACATGATTATGTTATTATTATATTGTACATGATTATGTTATCATTATATTGTAAATGATTATGTTATCATTATATTTAAATGATTATGGTCAAATTTGTATAGGGTTATATATTATGCAAAAACATGTCTTAAAATACAACACAGGAAACACAAAAACACTTAATCTGAAATAATTATTCTTCAAGAGACATTGTGTAACCATGTTAACAAACTTTACAAATCTTCTTATATAAATAATGTATATTTTAATTAAATATAAGACCTCCAGACACAAACTCGCTTTTGCAAAAGGTTATTGATTAAATTTCCGATTTCAAATCAGTTTTTAAATATATAATAAATTGAAAATATATTGTTCTGTTTGAAGCTTATGAAAGCGAGGAACATGATTTCGTCATGACAACGGTAATGGAAGTGTTGAAAGCACGTGTTGCATGAAATATTTTAAAGCTTTGACATTTGAGTGGTTATTGCTGATCATACGTAGATAGTCATTTTTCCAATTGTAAAGAGATAATATAGAATATATATTTTTATTTACATTCTCGCATGCATTTGTGACCGATGACGTGAGAATAATAACAATCATATCATCCACTGTACGTCTCTTTTAAATTAAATTACGACCGGAGATATGAGTTTAAGGAGTTGCTGGAACTGAACGCAACTGATAAAGCACGACACCAGAAAGGGACACAATGTTAATTGAAAAGACTCATCATCACAAGCTTAATTCGCTGAAGATTATCTTCTTTCAGTAGAGATACACAAGAAACATGGTACCATCAATGATTTATTGTACCTCTGAGATTGAAGATGGTCATTATTAATTACGATAAATAAGAGATTACTATTCGACTGAATATATAACATATGTATAATATGTATTATTATATCTAACAACTTGGAGCATTTAAAATGCCCAATTAACAACCAACCAGTCTGAAATTTGCATCTGGATTTACTACAAACGCGACAGAGCCTGACACACTTGGGGACACTCATGCCGCACTGTGATCAGTTTTATTATAACTAGCTGCCCTTTCAGTGAGTCCACATAGCTAATAATGGATATTTGGTTTATTTGTTTCAGGTGAAGATTATTGTTGCAAGTTTCTGCTGTCTCCTGCAATGCGGATCGGATATGAAGCATCCTGTCATTCGGCTAGAGCAATTAACTAAGGCCCTGAGTGCTGCAGAAGGTTTAAATCGATGAGGTACTGACTGATGCAGCTTCTTTACAAATTTATCACACTCCAACATTTAGCTAAGTTGTCAGTCTTCATGAGTCCAACCAGGGGAAAGCAATACTCCATATTCTATCACACTTCAATTAATGACTATTACAGTATAAATTGCCAGTAAAACAATTGAATTATTGTGAATGATCATTATCTCAAAAAGTAAACATTCATATTGTTTGAGAAAACCTGGGCATTCCACACCGTCTGTTGATTGCTACAACAATGAAGTATAAAGAAGAATGTATATAGTATGAATCGATTTAACTATCTCTGTATAGCCTGTACAATATGAAACAATATATAATTAATATGTTGGTCGTATTGTTTATATTACAGATGACTAGTCATGGCTGATTCTTGATTCCAAGTTAGTTTCTTCACTTTAACAACTATCGGGTAACGTATACAGCAATGGCCAAGCTGTGTCGCCTGGTGCAACTTAATGATCGTTTTAATTCTCAGGTATTTACCTTCACTTTACCAGGGAAAATTACGAGGGAATTTACACCAGATACTTACGCCAAGGAATTTGTGTATGGTTTTCAGAAATGGGTTGTGTCTTTTATAAGAAGTGAACGTCACATTGGTGCTTTTCTCCGGTTGCAGACTGCTGCCAAGGACACAACATGTGGCTTAGACTTTACATTCACAGCATTAAACAGGGAACATTTTACAAGAAACGAGTCTATACCATTTAAAGGTAGTCAATTTACATTTCATGAACATACTCATGGGCGAAAAAACTTTATGGAAATGGATGACATCGTGCACAGGAAATTTCTGCAGGACAACGGTGATATATTAATAGAGTTAGAAATGAGAAAAATAAACTGCTTATATGAAAATCATATGAAAATGATTAAAGAAGGTCAGTCTCGTCATGGTTATGGTGATCGTCTGGAAACAACCTATTTTTCTTTTGGTCTCTTTGATTGGAGTATTTCTCTATTTCCGGATGTTACGTCTACTGAAGCTGATGGAAGTGTTGCGGTGCAGCTTCAACGGCACACAAGTTTTGATCACATGTGTAACGTGAAATATAGGGTGATTTTAGGCGACGATGCATCTTTTGATTCTGGTGAATTAACTCAGATGCTTGATGCCTCAGGATTTGGTGATCCATTTACTGTTGGTGCTTCAATTTCTCGTCTGTCGCGTGGTAAGAGTTCTCTTAAAGTGAAGGTGGAAATGATGTCGGTTGTGTCTGTTAGTGAGGTACCTCTCCCAGTATCCAATAATTCTAAAGGAAGAGCTCACTGTTATGATCGAGATAAACAGGCCTGGATGTTGGAGACCGATACTTCTGGCAAATTCCTCTCATTTCGCCTGTATTATACAGATATATCTCATGTTCCACGGAGATTTTGTAGATATGTTGTGTGGGATTTATCAATTGTGTGTGGTAATAAAGTAGTAAAGGTTGGTGAAGGTCCATACAGTAAATATTATATACAACAAGATCTTGACGAAGGATTCTTTATGAGAACGAACATCGCTATAGATGAGGTAAGAAACTGTAAAAGAATAGAGCCATCGTATATTCTCTCTGTCACTTCAGGGCTCAATTTCAGCAAGCCGTTTCACTCTGCATTATGAACATTTGACTTCCGGTTCGTCTGTGATTGTATGATAATATATTGCCAGAGAATTACTGATATTCGCTACTGCACTGAACAAAGACTGATATTAACGCCCTTTCAATTTAGCCTGTTTTCCTGTTGAAGAAAATAAACATAATTTTGCTCTTGTAAATCTTGAAACCAACCAGTTGATAAAAAACAGACATTCGATGAATAGTTTCTGTGTTATTGCCCTTGAATAAGCCAAAATATGTGCTGGGTTTAGATGATTTTACTAAAATAAAATAAAACTGAGTTAATAACCTGGTTTAATATAGTATAAAGTATAATCTTATAAATATTCCAGGATAAAAACGTTATTTAATTGGGTTTAACTGTCTGTTATTTGTAAAATATTGGCGAATTGTCAGCTTGTTAAGTTACAGTATCAGATTTACTGGCAGATTTATTTAGAATTAGATTAGAATACACACAGAAAAAGCCTTAATGTGAAGGAATTGAAGTATTTTCTTCTGACTTGTAAAAGATTTTCATTATTCTGAGATGTCATTGAAGTAACACTCAATATTTCCTATGAGACACATTGATTCAGTAATTAGGATCTGAAGAGACTACAGTAGGCCTATTGAATTTTGAACGTTCAATAAATAATCAGTTTGTAGGCAAAGTCGACGTCTGTCAACAAAAAGAAGCACAAGTTTGCATGGTATTTGGATGAAGTTAGGTACACATTATGCATATTGATGATTTTATTGAATGTTGGTTACACATTTTATAGGTTGATGATATCTTGAAAGGACTTTTTGGGGGTAAAATTTCGCGGAACAGAGTTGCATACTTGAGCGCAAAAGGAACATCTCACTGTAGAAGATTTTTTCTTTCTCACACGACATCGAGATGATATAGAATTATTCAAACACTGCAGATGATAAATACGTTGTATTAAAGCAAGGGCAATAACTCAAAAAAAGTGCCTAGAAATGATTCATATTCGAACTGTGATTTCAATCTCCATAAACACACTAGTATTATCTTCATCGCGTTTTCATACAAGCACGGCTTTTGAAATATGCGTATATAGATGACAGCTACATAAAAGGACCAGAATGAAGGAAATATTAAATTGATTTACCAGATTTTCCACCAATTTAACAAATCCAATGAGTGATTTAAGCTGTCTGACCTGTCAAAATATAATCCAAAAATCATTAAATATACAGTATATGACTGATAATTTTATTTTAGCTTTCAGACCCAGACAATGAGTTCATTGATTTGAATGATAAGAAATTAACAATTTATATACAATGGATCCAATCGCATCTCCTTGTCTTCCCTAATTATAATAATTTGGACGATGTTACTCGTCTTCATAAACATCAAATGGGGTGAGTAGGCATTCCATTCATTCTTTCATTCATTCTTTTTCTCATCATTTACAAGACGCGTCCTGTCTTCTGTCTATATCTTGATCTTTCTTTGTCACTCTAATATTTATTTAACCTGTTAATATGTGTCTGTTAATAGCTGAAGACATGCAATCAGTAAGTGATTGCTTTTCTATTTATGGCAAATTGAGTACGTTCATGATAACTTTTGGTGTTTCCTGTTTATCTCCATGATCACGTTGAGATATTTCATTTGGATTTTCAAATTCAAATAAATAGCAATCTTGACGTATCTGGAAGAATTATGAATTAATTTGTTTACTTGAAAAGTCTTTAACTTATCCAATATACTTTACTACAGTGACTTGATGGTGCCTCGCACAACACAAAAGCAGTCTCCTGTGGTCAGAACGATCTTTCTGGACACTGGTTGTATATCAACAGGATCTAAAATACTCCCCTGGCTCAGATAAAGTTGTATTCTGTCCACCAAATGGCGACTAATTAGCTGTAGAGTTTTTAGACAGATATATAATAAGGTCTCTAGAGACCATAGAGATTTTAAGAATAAGGCTAATTAGAGGATGTCTGAATGGCCAGGTCTTACTTCCGCTGTCAGAAGTCAATTACACTGATATTTTGATCGTTACGTTGTGCTTTTAATGATTCTTCCAGACCAGTTCATGGTTTTGTCATTGATATTCATTAATTCTGGATATTCTAATAGAAACTATAGTTCTGGGTTGCTTTTTGATTCCGTTGGATTCTTTCCATTGCTTTGGTTAAGGTTATTGAGAGAAGTTGGAAATATTAGGTAATTATTAGGTTTTGATAGTCCTAAGAAAATCCACGTACCGCGCTAGCGCTTGCTCGGACAGGGGGGTGTCTGAGGAGGGATGATATTTTTTGAAATTTTAAGGCTGAATTTGCGCGATTTGGTGTGTACTTTTTTGTAAATTACTTGTTATTTTGAATGAATATTGCTTTTGTTTGGCATTTAGGCTAAATCATCCACTGACAAATGTAACATTTACATTTGTACAATCGACATTTCACACATCGTCATTTCATCATCGAGCATCTACAATTCTACATATTATTTAAGGTTGACAAATTGACAATGGAACATTTAATTTACATTTACAAATCAATATTAAAATTACCAATATACATTTAAACTTTTACAACGTGACAAATGTATTTTCTTCAAGTTACTATACAAATGTACTTTCACAAATCGACATTATACATTTTGTCGTTTTGCAAAGTAATTAATATTGACATGGAAACAACTCCATAGAAGTTTATAATATAAGTTTTATTAGTACCAATATTCAGAAAAGGTTGTAGAATGTCAATGTTTATGATCATTAAGAATAATGACAGAGTCGGGATGTTAATAGCTTTATCCCTATCATAAATGGATTTTCTTGCCTATCACACAGTCGTTTATCCACAAATTCATTATTTTACCCTATTCTAGTAATGTTCTGTTCCTAATTTGATTATTAAAGACAATCGCTTTCCATAAATCTATATTGGTAATTTTCTATCTGTCGAAGTATAACACGCTTGTCCCTATAGGTGCTAGTTTATGTCAACAGGTTGTTGGTATGAATAATTTAGCACCATTATAGAATTACCAAAGGGGAAACTGGTATGTCTGTAGCTCTTGAGAGAACTAATTTGCAAGTTAATTTCTAATATTGGTTAACGTACTGGAGAACCTGCATGTGTCCCGTAACATTTTAAACCAATAGCATTTGTATTCCTAATTGCATAACATATTTTCTCCCGTGGGTGTCCAGTGTAAATTTCAATTTCATCTCTATCATTCCTAACATTGACTCCTGTTTATGTCTTTAATGATAGACAATTTGGGTAAAACTAACCTGTATTTTTTGTTCTTTCAGACGAGAAATAATGGCCTTACAAGCCGAGAATTATGCCTTAGAGAAACAACTATATAGTTACCAACAGTCTATTGCGAAAACAAACTCGTTAAAAACCAGGCAAAATTCAGATCCTCTACTACGCCATTAAAATCAAACCTCGTTTGTTTTATCTTAATCTTTTGGACCTGTAATGTGAAAAATGGATGTTGAGCACAGCACTATGTTGGGATTTTTTTTTGCACAATATTATATTGATGTAAGGTTTTAAAATCAAAGAATGATGTACATGTTCAATAAATGATACTTACAATTGACCATTATCTGTTTGAAGTAATAAAATCCTGTCCCACTGTCAAATCGTTTTTCTATGAATCTTTCATGTTCTGTTCCATTTTGTTTTTCTGGTTTTAAACATCAAAACACTCCACTTTTTTCATGTTTAATATAACGAAAAAGCACTGGCAGCCAGGCTGCTCAATTATTTACGTGAAAACGTAGCTGTATAAACAGCGAATCTTTTAAATACGATATAATAATCAATTTCCATCGGCTGATGAGGCTGTTTGAAGTGTATTAGAAATTAAGTCCTGTGTTTGTACGTTGGTGGAAAAGCAGAGCATACATTCCACATTCTTCGAAATCCCTCCTTTTTGTTTTTGACACAATGTAAGTATGAAGAATTGAGGTGTCAAAGGCCCATTTTAATATGTGTTGTGAGCATTCCAATGAAGTCCATGAATTGGAATAATAGAAAGATAAGGGAAGAAGATTCCGATCCAGAGTGACTGGTGTGGTGTACGGTGCGGGATTATCGATACAGAAGAAAATAGAAGAAGTGAATAAACAAGGGATGGACACGGTGCGGACACGATTCGATTCTACTATTTTATACTGAATCGACAATCCAGCACCATATATCGTACTGGATACGATACGAGGTGTTTTGATATTGGACAAAAATACCAGTGTGTTTCACAAGTTCGTGTAAGGATTTCAATGATTGTTTGATGAATTGATAAAGTCACATTTTTCCATAAGGGAAATTACCCTTTAGACCCGAAGACCAAATGCCATTTTATGACATTGGCGAACTTTTTTTTAATATTCATGGAATTGGTGTACTTAACCTTTTTTTTAATAATATATACATACACTAATTTAAAGTTTTGTATTTTCACTACAATTTATATTTTATGTATAATTTTATGTATATCTATCTATATTTGGTTGTGAATTAAAAATGAATGATATATTCAGATTATGTTTATTTATATTCATCATTGTCTGACAACAGCCGTCTAAAATCATAGATGGACTTTATCATTGTCTGCCTTATTTTAAATAAACTTGTGCAGCTATACAAGAACGATTCAATCTACCATCTAATATCTGATGGGAATCAAACATCCAAAATCGACCTCGATAGGAGCCCAGTTGCTTTAGAGAAATCAATTTCCTTTGGCAACGACACAGTGGTGTAACCTATATTCGTGCATAAAAGGATTCAACATCGAATTTCGTCTAATTCTAAAGACGGACAAATTTTTCTTCAGACATATTCTAAAAAATAATTAAATTTCTATTTGTTTTTTTCGATTTTCTTTATATATTCATTCATATATATTTCATGAGCAACCAAATCGACAACGGCTGCAAAATGCGTCACCTATTTTCGTGTAAAATGTTTGTCGAGAAAAACACATTGTAAGGATACTCAGAGGTAAACTTTTCTTCGTATTTATCTTTAATATCAATTCATTATAACTATGACAATTCTTTTAATGAACAATGATTTGAAAAAAAAATAGTGACTGTCAAAATAAGAAAAGTAAAACGTAAGAGTAATTTATTGCATGCAAAATTCATTGAAACAACATAAGAATATGGCCTACATTGTATGACATGGAATCCGTCAGTTTGTCACGTGACCCTTTTGTTCACTGGAATATATTCTAGCAGACGACACTTGGAATTCCGATTACAACTTGGGAAATTTGGCCGATAAAAAATGGTGACATTTGGTAATAACTGAAATCCGCCATTTTGTGTATGATAGAAATAGATAATAAATTTGACATTACTTTAAAACGACGGGAAAAATTCTGCAGGTTGACTTTGTAGTGATAACCCATGTTTATCAAAACATGGAAATGTGGTGGTCACATGAGGTCGCACATGTCGATTATTCTTCATTTCCGGAGATGCACGAAATTGGGTTAATGATCATCGTGCCATTGCTAAAGGAACATGTAAGAAAAATTAGTCTAGCCTATATATTATATCATAAGTCGGCTTACTTGGTGCCATAACTGCACACCAGCAATCCAATTCAATCCGATAAATCCATAAACGTTATTATTAAAAAAAAATATGGGTACCGGTAATAATTCGATAATATTACTTAGTTTAATGGTTTTATCGTCATATATAATACTATGTTGTTTAGTTATTACATCAGGTAAGTTCACTGATGAATATATACTCTTATTGGAGAAGTTTGATAATTTAAATGTTAGTGTCCAATCTAAGAGGTAATAGGCTATTCCTTTAATGAGCACAAGTATTCGGTCACTTAAATCAAAGGACTTAAAGTTTGGGGGACAATAAAGATTTGGTTTATGAAAGGACTATTATAGTCATCTGTTACTTCAATCGTTGCTGCCCCGTATATCCATATTTATTTACAGAATGGTAATCATTTCAATAGCTTATACATTCCGGATTATCTTTATGAAAAGTGTTAAGGGTATACTGATATCAAGCGAGTGGCAAATAATTATTTACATGTATATGTTTTATGTTACTCGTAGTAAAGTGCAAGTAAACATAGAAAGGAGCTCATGTCAAAGTCGAAATAAATCTTTCGTTAGTTAGTTATCTTTTTGAGGCAGATTCTCTTGTAGAAATCGATTTTATATGAGAAACCTAGAACTATATTAGGATGATTATTGATAAATAATTCATTGTAGCATACAATAAAATAAACTTATACACGGAACTAACATAACACACAGGAACTTCATTTACTAGCAATTTATAAACCAATCTATTTTTTAGATATCAAACGATTTAAAACAACATTTACTGAGCCAGTATAATCAGATACTGTTTTCCTACATAGAAAACAATGTTTAATTCTGTATTCCAGAAAAATAAAGCCAATGACTGCAAGACTTCACGCTCAGTTCAACATTGTTATTTTACGAGTGCCAATACCTCAGTCTCAGAAACGGGATTTTTTTATAGCTAAGACAATCAGTAATATTGTTCACAGCTCGAAATTTGAGCCTTCAAACCCATGTGTGTCCAGAATTATTCGCGTTTGAAATACGAGTCGTCTTTTCTTGATATAAAAGACATCTGTGAATAAATATTCAAAACTTTGCGCTTTTTGTACATTTCTAATACTTCTAAAGACTATTCACCTATTTAAGATCATCGGATCACGAATACGGGCTTTTACATGGTCTTATTAACCCGTAATAAACTAAGCCCAAAACACTTCGGTTTGTGAGCATGGACATGAGATTTGTGCTACTTAAACCTGACCAATCCGATCGGTAGAACAGAAATGGGGTCATCTAAACAAATCACAAAATCACTTTGCCACCGCTCGTTTGAAGACAAAAAAGTAAATATTCCAATTGTTCCAATTCGGCTTTAATTTTTTTTACCGAAACTCTTACTTACTCAATTCTATACCGTCCTTTTAATCAAAACATTTAATGACCTGATGATACGCTGCTTTCATCATTGTCTTCGCAAACAAGCGTCATGACGGGTGATTTTTTGTGGATTGGCTGAAATTTTGCTACCAAGACAACAGGGCCAATTTTGATTGGGCAATAATTATGAATATGTAATTTTTTTCTCGGTGTCGAGGAAGTAGCCTATGCCGAATGGTAATGCAGTTTTGGACACTGTGATTCAAGACTCAAATCTACCTGCAAAATGGCGCTTCTGCCCATTTTAAGTATAACAAGAATAAGGCTACATTTAAGTGATACTTAGAATTAACATCAAATTTAAGAATTTAAAACTTGGCGAATAAGAGCCAGTAGATATACCTGGTGTCATAAATACCATAACAATTTAAGACCCTTATATTACCCGATAAATCCAAAAAAATTAGTAATTATCCATGAATATGCAATTAACTATTGAAAAACGCTTAATATCAAGATTAAGCGTTTTTCAATAATTACTTAGTTTTATGAATTTTCCAATTTTCCAGATTTTACAGGGATTCTGTTGTAACTTTATGACTCCAGGTAAGTTAACTGATGAATATATACTAATATTGACCATTTCGAGAACTTAAATTTTATAATCATACATCAATTTAGATCTAACATGCCATACTTGAAATATTCAGACCAATTTAGATCTAACATGCTATACTTGAAATATTGAGACCAATTTAGATTTAACATGCCATACTTGAAATATACAGACCAATTTAGATTTAACATGCCATACTTGAAATATACAGACCAATTTAGATCTAACATGCCATACTTGAAGTATACAGACCAATTTAGATTTAACGTGCCATACTTGAAATATTGAGACCAATTTAGATTTAACATGCCATACTTGAAATATACAGACCAATTTAGATCTAACATGCCATACTTGAAATATAAAGACCAATTTAGATTTAACGTGCCATACTTGAAATATAAAGACCAATTTAGATCTAACAAGTCATACTTGAAATATACAGACCAATTTAGATCTAACATGCCATACTTGAAATATTGAGACCAATTTAGATTTAACATGCCATACTTGAAATATCATACTTGAAATATACAGACCAATTTAGATTTAACATGCCATACTTGAAATATACAGACCAATTTAGATCTAACATGCCATACTTGAAGTATACAGACCAATTTAGATTTAACGTGCCATACTTGAAATATTGAGACCAATTTAGATTTAACATGCCATACTTGAAATATAAAGACCAATTTAGATCTAACATGCCATACTTGAAATATAAAGACCAATTTAGATTTAACGTGCCATACTTGAAATATAAAGACCAATTTAGATCTAACAAGTCATACTTGAAATATACAGACCAATTTAGATCTAACATGCCATACTTGAAATATTGAGACCAATTTAGATTTAACATGCCATACTTGAAATATACAGACCAATTTAGATCTAACAAGTCATACTTGAAATATACAGACCAATTTAGATTTAACATGCCATACTTGAAATATACAGACCAATTTAGATCTAAAAAGTCATACTTGAAATATTGAGACCAATTTAGATCTAACAAGTCATACTTGAAATATACAGACCAATATAGATCTAACAAGTCATACTTGAAATATTGAGACCAATTTAGATTTAACATGCCATACTTGAAATATACAGACCAATTTAGATCTAACATGCCATACTTGAAATATACAGACCAAAATATAGATCTAACAAGTCATACTTGAAATATTGAGACCAATATAGATCTAACAAGTCATACTTGAAATATACAGACCAATTTAGATCTAACAAGTCATACTTGAAATTTATAGACCAATTTAGATCTAACAAGTCACACTTGAAAGATTGAGACCAATTTAAATCCGGAACACTAGGCCCTATACTTGATATTCAGACTAAATTAGATGTAACACTCCATACTTGATATATAGCTCAATTTATATCCGAAACTTTTTATTTGAAATATACAGAACAATTTTTAAACCAGCTTATCATACATGATAAGTTGAACAATTCAATTCCGACACACTTTACTTGACATACAGAACAATTTTGGGCTATTCCAACACACTTTACTTGACATATAGAACAATTTTGGGCTATTCCGACGCACTTTACTTGACACACAGAACAATTCAATTCCAACACACTTCACTTGACATAGAGAACAATTCAATTCCAACACACTGTACTTGACATACAGAACAATTGAATTCTAACACACTGTACTTGACATCCAGAACAATTGAATTCTAACACACTTAACGTGACATACAGAACAATTTGATTCTCCATTTAACACAAGAAATGTAAAGTTAATCAAATTATAACATCTTGAACATGTCATTCTCAGAAAATGATTTGTATTTTTCTATCGTCTAAATGTCAACTTCACTACCAATCCATTTCAACTTTTTTTTTACGAGAATGTCAACTGTAGATATACGAATTCTTATTAGATTTGCATTATAGAAGCTTCAATCATTATAATATATATTTGATTAATCAAATAAGAGTTGCTTTATTCAGAGCACATTTGAAACTGTATCTATGACACTTTTCAGAATTAAAACCCGTGTCGTTTTCTGCAATGCCACAAACACAATCATCCAATGTATTAACCAATTAGTTTTGACCAATATCACAGGTTCATAAAGGTAAGTCTTTATACCTCTGGCAGTTTCGAATTACAACTTCAGATCGGTGTGCACAACTAATTCAAATTACAACTTTGGATATCTATCTATTTCGGTATGATCTTAACCCCAACATGTGATGCTAGACTGAAGAGGCTGATGTCAAACCCCGCCCACATACTAAAATAGCCATAACTTTGCTAATTTTGACTCTAGATTATATTATTTTTGTTTCGAACGAAAGTTTATCATATTTTACGCCTTATTCGCCCTTATTTTCTTGAGGAAATTAGACTATTTAAACCCCCATCCCCATGCTAAATAGCCATAATTCTGTACCCTTGTAATGTAATTAAAAAATTTGCGTAAACATTGTCTGCTTCTATGTATCGTATAATCTCCAACATCAACAAATAGAAATTCATAAGCCATGCCTTGGGGTACTCAGCATCAAAAGTATAATCATAAAATTTTCAAAAAGATAACGGCTTGATAACAAATCCAAAAAAAAAAAGGGTTTTTGCGCAGGCATATTAATTGTTTCTTTTGATATTTGACGCATGCAGAAATCGCATGAAAGCATGTCCCATGGCAGAAAAAAATTCCACTGAATTTCACAATATTTCCGCCTTTTTTCATAAATATTTTGCGTTGAATTTTTTTTATTGAATAGTCTAACATAGCCTAATAGTCTATTTTTAAAGTAGGATACGGTAGGCCCTAGGCTATGACAGTTATTTCTTAAATTTTCTAGAATATCGTTCTGTATTGTAAACCTAATAATAAAAGTTTGTAGGTTTATAACATGTGAATGGAAGTGTCAATTCTTTTTAAAATGTGCTTTTATTTCCTACTGTTTCAAACTTGATTTTGTAAATCATTCAGACTACAGTAGTTGCAGTAAAAGTTACCTCCCTTATATTAGTTAGAAATGACATGGAAAAAGTCTGGATATTCAAGATTTCAGAATTAGAAAAATACTGGTAGATAGAGAATAAAAACAAATATGGTAGACTTCCGGTTGAAATTGTCAAAGTGCTTATAATCTGTCAATATTTCGTAATAAAAAGAGATATTTGAATTAGTAGGGTAGGTACAATTGACTCCACTGCATCCATTACAATGTTTGTTTTCTCCACACAGCTTTACTACTGTATAGGACAGAGCATTAATCAATGAATTTACCACACAAACATGCGATATTCGAAATTCATGTGATAAACCATACAGTTCTATGGATAAACAAACTGAGTTATTGAGGGTGAAATCACTGTGACACTGAAGTTTTATAGAGAAGATCAAATCGTCACTCTAGTAAAATTAGCAAAAGTATCCATCCCAGAACCATACTCATTTCATTCTCAGTTGTAATTTAGGTGGTCAACCTAATCAATTTATGTGTTATAGAATCGTCATCTATAAGTATAGACTTAAAAAAAACCTGTAAATGTAGTTCTGTTATGCCTTTTGACACCAAATTGGTGTGTGGAGCTTTCCTACCCAACGATTGTCTTTAAGTAAACTAATAAATTAAATAAACAGGATGATTTTATTTCAACACTATCAGCTGGTCACAAAGGACTTCCTAATGCATGTGATCTTCGTTCTGCATGAAGGGCAATCAGCTTCACGATTAATAAGATAAGTTGGTTTACAAAATAGTGCTGAAAATTGAGATTGATATAGAATATGCTTTGGGGGTATATGAATATAACATTGCAACAATAATTTGAGATTAAAGGTGAATATGCTTTTGGCCTTTAACAATAATGCAGGTGAAGGGTTTGAGCCTGTAACTGTCTATCTGATGAGTACTACTATGATTTATTATAAACTTATATAGTCACAGTCATCTAAACTCCTTTTCAGACAAACCATCTAAAATGCCTGGTGCCAAATCTAGAAAGAAAGACTTATATCTAGGCAAGAGTTTGTCTGATCTTAATAAATTTGCTGAAGTGAAAGAGTTGGGACCAAACGTAAATGTGTAAGTAGACACATCTTTATATACTTATTTTACAGTATTTATTTATTTTTTTATATTGGTGAGGGAGAAGTAAATCTTTCTAAAAAAAAATACTTCACTGGGAATGCTACGAAGCCATTAAGGCGCAATTTTCCACACTGTTATAAATTATTTCGAAATAAGTTATTCGATTCTACGAAATAATTATTTCTTTTAAACGAAATGAAAAATGTATTTCGTTAAACGAAATAATTAATTCGTTAAAATGAAATAATTAATTCGTTAAAACAAAATAATGAATTCGCTAAAACGAAATAATGAATTCGTTAAAACGAAATAAGTTTTTTGATTAAACGAAATAATTATTTCGTTTAAATGAAATAATTAATAAATGATATTATTTCGTTTAAACAAATTAATTGTTTCATTTTAACAAATTAATTATTTCATTTTAACAAATTAATTATTTCATTTAAACGAAATATTTTATAAAGTATGGAAAATTGCGCCTTAGGGGCTCCATAGAATGCAAAGAAAGTTAACTGTTTCTTACTTACCTATTCATCTATTCAGTTTCTAATTGGTATATAGAACGGGAATGTCAAAAGTTTTTTTCAGTATTAGACACTGATGATTGAATTGTTATAATTCTGAGCCAACCAGAAAAAACCTACAGAAACGAAGACATATATAGTAAAATAAGTATACCAGTGCATGTACCAATCAATTCCATCATTAAATTTATTCTCTTCAACAGAATTATAAAATCTGCTGATAAACTGTATAAAGAAGCATCAAAACACGATGATTTAGCAGATGAAGAAAGATCTTATGTTTTATTCATGAAATATTTTAATGTTATTTCTCAAGCGAAGAGGAAACCTGATTACAAAAAGCAAAAGGTTTGTTTAAATTTTTATTTTACTTTCGTTATCAGCTTCCATCTGCATTAACATTCATTAAGCATGAGATTTGTGAAAAAGAAAACTAGAAAAACCTTTGGTTGAGTGTTTTTGCAGTAGATCACCAAAGCCTTGGACCAAGTTGAAGGGCTTAAAAGATTTTGAATTCATCTGGCTTCTTAAACTCTTATATTTTGTTACTGGAAAAAAGTCATGATGAGTTATCCAGTGATTACTTTTATTATTTTATCAGGAATATTATGATAGTTTAATTGGTAATAGAAATCAGTTACATGCTATTGAAAGAGCAGAAAAATTATCTAAAAGTTTAAATGACAGGTAAGTAAGTGCATCCATTGTGTGTGCAATAAGATACTGCAACAATAGCTTTATATGTTCAATTACTTGGTTTCCTGATGGGTGTGTGTATCCTCATTACTTTCTATTTGGATGAGTGTCAGACAGAGTCTCTTTACACCACCAATCATGTTGACTTATAAAGTAGTCTTTGACAAACTAATATGATGAGCAAAGATTGATATTTTGGAACACACTTATTTATAAGTAAGATAAGTATCTGACTCTAACTACTAATACAAACATGAAAACTTCAATGTGTGGTTGAAAAAGAGATATTTGATTTCTACTCAATACAAATATTTCCAGATATGATTTGATAGAAGCTGAATCTGTAGCTAAGAAATTAGAAGCATTAGATATCAAATCAAAAAATAAGCAAACAGATAAAGAAAAAGATAAAAAAGAACCAGTTGAGGTTGAAAAAGGAGAAAGTGAAAATGGAAGTGTCTCTCAAGGTAAAAATCAAAAAAATAATTAGTATTAGTTATTGCCCTTGTTCTTGTAAACGCATTCAATTTTAGCTTGTAAACAATCTAGAAGGTTCAATTATTTACAGATTTTGATGAAACTTGATGTGGATGAACCCTATTTAAAATCGGAAATATCGAAAAATATTGCTCCAGAAGGTTCAATTATTGACAGATTTTTACAAAACTTAGTAATATTTTTCAGTATCACCCAAAAAAGGTAAAAAGTTACTATACTGTCAAATATTTTTATTGAAAATCAAGCTGTGGGCGTATATTACCTTGCCTTGCAAGCTATCTTTGATTCCTGATGTGTCATAATTTTTCATGATTAGCTATTGTATTTTTGAAAATATCTTGTCATGACAATTTTGGTTTATGAATAACTTCGTCATGCCAGTAAATTCTTGATAGATAACAAGCATCTTGGTGAGCAAAACATTCTCACGCATGTTTGTCCTAATAGATTATGACATTAGTGTTATTATTGTCTATCTGTTTTACAAAAACCATGTTAAAGATTTTCTTTCTGTATTCCTAGAGATATTGCAGTGATAGATGAACTCTATTTTTAAAAATTATTTATAGATTATTATTTGAATTTCAGAGAAAAAGACAGAAGTTGTAAACAGTATCAAGCCTACTGGTTTATATAATCTTATTAAAGATAAAACTAGTCAGATATTGATAATAGATGTCAGAACAATTAGTGAATATAAAGAATCACATCTAGATAATAAGTATTGTATTAATGTACCAATTGATATAGTTCCTCCTGGGTAATTTTATTTAGATATCTTTAAACCTTTCAACAATCATTAGTCTAAGAATCTTAGGTCATGATTCTGTTTCTCTAATGGCTATTTCAAAATGCAAGAGTTTTTTTCGGAGAAATGATAAGTTATGATTATTCTGGAATCCCTTCTTCAAGTTTCTCTTGATGTAAATTAGTAATTATTCTGCATAAAACCAATATTTGCCATTTGTACAATTCACTCTTTAATGATCTGTTTGTGAGGAAATTAATATTTTACATTTTATTATCATATTTATTTAACAGAACTACCTGTAACAGAATAGAGAAAGAATTATCAGAGGAATATAAGTCGCTATGGTTACAGAGAGGTAATGTTGATCATATAATATTATTAGATTGGAATTCAACATTATCTACCACTACTGTTGGTACAACTTTAAATACATTAAAAGATGCTTTATTCAAGGTAAGGCATAGTCTATCTTTCAACAATACTATACAATTATTCAGGGAAAAACAATCAGCTTGTTCATTGAAATAGTATGCTAACAACCCATCAGTTCTTTTCAAAATGCCAATAAAACTCTTTAATCATTGTAGAATCTTTATCCATATTTGGTATCTGGCATTTGAATAAGTGACTTTTAAATCTCTGATGATAGAGGTATTACGACTATTCCATTGTGGTCCAGTATATTATTAATAGAGGAATATTGTTAAACATAATCAATTAAACTGATACTGCCTAAGAACCCTGTTTCCTTCATCATTTTTGGATAGATGTACACAGGTAATGCCTTTTCAAAAAGAAGATTGTGAAACCTTTAGCATTTAAACTGATACTACCCTCAACCACAGCTTTAAATGCCTTTTCACCATATGAGATTTATAAATGGACCTTTATTTCAGTATGATTCTAAGTTTATATTGAAAAGTGAACCATTAATATTAGAAGGTGGATATAGTCAATGGTTGTTATATTATCCAATGTTAACTACCAATCCACATATTAACAGACCACAACCTACTGTTAAAGAACCTCTTGCTTTATGTAAGTAATATTTCTTCATAGGATATCTATATCAGGATCCTAATTCAAAGAAATTTAAAGCCTGATGTTTGGTGCATTTACAATTCATCAAAGAGGCACTATAAGAGTTTTGTAAAAAATTAATGATTTTAATTCTAGAAAATAAAACAGTTAGCTGTAATCAATCAACAATCAAGTAATAAATGTTTAACTCTGTTCTTGATTTTACTTTCAGTGGATTTTGATTATCCAGATTTTGAAGATGAGGAAGAAAAGAAAAATAATTCTGTCCAATCACTTCCAGGAACACAAAATGAACCCACCAATCAGATTTTACCTGATAAAGGTGGAAATTTTCCACAAATAGACAGAAGTAAAAAGCCAAAACTTGGTTGTGGATCAAGTTCACAAACTATAACTAGTGGTAGTTCAGTGTCACAACAATTAAATAATTATGTTCCTTCAGAAACAGTCAGTAATAATATACAGAAAGATATAGTTGTTAATCAAAATAATCTCTATCCTAGTGTGTCGTCTGATCTTAAACCTAGTGGTATCAAAAACACTAACATTGCACAATCACCTAAATCACAAATACCATCCAACTCAGCTTCAAATTCTGTTAAAACACTGCCTTCAGATAATTTGCCTGAAGAGACAGATTCCAAAAATAGTCAAAGTGTGAAACAATTGGAGGAGGAACTGAAGAAAATTGAAAATTTGGAAAAGATTCGAAAGAAACAAGAAAAAGATGTGGCAGATTTAATGAGAATGAAAAGAAATCTACAAGAAGATTTAAAGAAAGAGAAATCTAACCAAGATGAAATGAGAATAAAAGAGAAAGAAGAAGAAGAATTGAGGTAAAATAAAAAGCAAATCTGTGTTTACTCCTTTGACAGAACTATTCTTAATTTACAGTTCATTTCAAGACATTCAATTTAGTAAAAGCTTCCTTCAAAAACGTAACGCCAAACTAGTTATGTGGATAAGCTTGTTGATGGCCTATAACCATTACCAATGACATGGATTTATTACCTGTGGTAAAAAAGAAATTGATGTAATATACAAGCAAAAAAAAACTGTACTGTTGTGAGTTAATGTTAATGTTTTTGGTCATAAATGCAAACTTAATCTGAACAGGTTTTTTTAAGATTTGGTTCCTATGGAGAGGTCAGATAATTGATGGCAGTTCAATATTGAAGATGAATATGAAATTTTTTCAGGGAGCGTGAATCAGAACAGAAGAAAGAGAAAGAAAGATTAGAAAATGAAAAGAGACAAGAAGTAGAACGATTAAGAAGAGAAAGAAAAATTAAGGAGGAAAAAGAAGCAAAGAGTCGATTGGAGAAAGAGGTTTGTTGAGATATAACAAATATATGTTTTTCTTTAAGTCAATTCATGGGTAGAATGATTTATCATGATCATAATGATTTAATGATGATGATAATTTATTTTTTCTTATTCCATAACTCTGCTTGTGGACACGACTGTTCAAGACCATCTTTAACATATCAGTTTCAACTTTTGGTTTAGTTTTGCAGACTTGATTTAAAAAACCTGAAACAATTGAGCTTCACAGATGCCCTTAAGGGCTACAAATATTCTGAATCATATCAGGAAAATCAGATCTAAATGATGATTGATCTCTGCTTCAAGTTTATAATTACTGAGAGATGCCTCTTTATATCTCTGTCATTTCATTCTAGTTTCTGATAATATTTTTAGGCTCAAGAAGAAAATGAAAGAAAAAAAGAAATTGAAAGATTAGAACAGGAACTACAAGATAAACAAGAAGAAGAAAATTTACAACAAGAAAGAGAAAAACAGAGGAAATTAGATCAGATAAAACAACAACAAAAAGAAGCTGAGGAAGAACGAAGGAGGCAAGAAGAACAGAGACAAAAAGAAGAAAGGGAACAAATAGCTCAAGAAAGACAAAGAGCTGAAAATGAGAGATTAGCTCAGGAAAGATTAAGAGCGGAAAAAGAGAGATTATCTCAAGAGAAGGTGAAAGCTGAAAATGAGAGATTAGCTCAAGAAAAAGTGAAAGCAGAAAACGAGAGAGTAGTGCGTGAAAGGTTAGCTCAAGAGAGGTTAAAAGCTGAGCAAGTGAGAATAGATAATGAGAAGGCTAAAGCTGATAGAGATAGGATAGAAGGTGAAAAGGCCAGACGTTTAGCAGAAGAAAAAATGAAAAAAATGAATGGTATGATTTATTTTGTATAAGAATCTGAAACTTTGAGTTGGTGTATGTCCTTATTTTGATGAGTTTCTGATATAAAAAACTACTCTCTACATGAAAAATGATCAAATGCTTCTCTATCTAAATATTGCTTGGATAACCCTTGTCCAAGTTCATCAGAAAAATTGGCAAAAAATTCCATTACAATTCATTTCAAAAGTTGAAATGGTGAGCAGTAACTTGCAATATAATTGTGGGACTTTGCTTTCAGCAATTCTTTTTTTTTTTTTTTTTTTCAATTTTGACACACCTTCCTGAGCTTAGTCTACAATAGTTGCAGCAACCTTTCAACATTCACGAACCTTAGATATAGGCGACGATGTGCATAAATATATTTTGGATCTTTTTTGCAAAACCGGAAGTGCCACAGTTCAATATGAGCAAGAATAGATAATCGGCTCTAGAAGTCATATTTTTCGGTCGATTTTCTTTGGGTTTGCATTTTTGGAATCTACTGTTAAAATCTGAAAGAATAGCAGTTTCAAAATTTCAAAATTCGAAAATTTGTCGCAGACATTTTTTTTGCCAAATTTTGCATTTTTTCATTTTTTTTGCTTTTTGTCTGATTAATCTGAAAAAAATTGAGCAGAGACAGTTTAAGAATGTAAACAAAATGGAACAGTCAAATTTTCAATTTCACTTCCGGTTTAAACAGGAAAACGATGTTCACTTCCGGTTGAATATCTTCCGGTGTAATTTGTATGGGACAAAAATTTTTATGCTGATAGGTAGACAAAGTTATGACAAAAAAACGAAGAAAAAAAAATCGGGAACAGACGTGAAACTTTGGCCGCCATTTTGATTTTTCTGCAATGATTCGATTTTTATTCAGACATAATGGCTCATCCGATTTAAATGATTTTGGTGTCAAATGAAAGAAGATAAAAAAAAAACATGACATTAGGAAGCCGTTTTTCGATTTTCAATTTTGCTTTTTTGCAACATCCGCTTGAATTTTTTCAAAGTTTGAAGGGTCATATCTCGTGATCTTGAACTTTGATGACCTTGACCTTCATAAGGTCAAAGGTCATTGACCTTAGCTATCAGTTAATACTTTGACATTTGACCTCCGACATGTACTTCCGGTTTTACAGCTGTCCGAAAACAGCCAATATCGCAACTTTGGACTGCTCTAGCACGTGACCTAATTAACCTAGAGGGTTAATTTTTTCGGATTCTTAATGTGCTTTTCATGCTCTTTCAAGTGATTTATAACAATCGTTTTTTAAAGCAAAATTGAAATTCGTGAATTTTTCAAATTTGAATTTTTTTTACAATATTTCTGTTTCTTTGAGCTTGGTGTGTATATATCTTATGACCTATTTTATGTAGAACATTGAAACTTGGAACACAACAAGACAATTTGAATATGAATTAACCTATGACAAAACAGTTGAGGTGGGCGTGGCACATCCGGGTTGAATTACTAATTGTTTACATTTTGGGAAAGGGGCATAACTCGCATAGGATACATTTGTTCAAAAAGGAACTTTGCACACAATTACCTCATGATTTTGGCCAGTTTGTGTTAATAGGTCAATTGTTTCAGCTTTATAGTTCCAAAAAAGGAACGGGTTTTGAAATTTCCATATTTTCAATTTTCTATTTTGACCTTTATTGACTCTTGTTGACCTATATCTTTTGACCTGTATGATGTAGAAGCTTTAAATTTGGAACACAACATAACATTCAGAATATCAATTAACTTATGCAAAAGAAATTGAGGTGGGCGTAGCACATCCGGGTTAAATTACTCATTATTGACAATTTTGGCAAGGGACATAACTCGCAACGTATACATTTGGTTCAAAATGGAACTTTGCATACAATTACTTCATTCGTTGAGCCACGTTGTCTTAGAAGTTCGATTGTTTCAGCTTTATAGTTCAAAAAAAGGAACAGGTTTTGAAAATTCAAAATTTTCAATTTTTGACCTTGACCTTTTTTGACCCTGATTTTTGTAGGATCAAAGGTCATTCACATTGGCTATCTATTTATATTTTTATATTTGCTGTCCTATCTCAACTTCCGGTTTTATAGCCGTATATAATTAAAAATTTTGATGACTTGTATCTCGTAACCTTGACCTTTGTTGACCGTCTCCCTTTCAATGTCAAATGTCATTGACCTTGGCTATCTTCTGATACTTTCATTTGTGAGGTCTGTCTACTTCCGTTATAACAATCTTCCAAACAATTCTTCTCAACTTTAGACAGCTCTTGCGCGTGATGTAATTATCGTAGAAGGTTGATTTTTTCAGAGTCTTTTGCATTTTGCTACATTTGCAAAGTCCCACTCTGTGCCACGTGTGGCTCTAGTCCAATGTTTATTTTTACTGTTGACAGATTCTAGAATTAAGCTTTAAAGAAATTTAATCCAACTATAAATGATCTCTCCTATAGCTGAAACACTGATATAAAGCTAAGAAATCTTAAAACTGGTTCAAGCTCTAATTGTTTACATTCACACAGTTTCAATAATAATTTATAACATGATCATGGTTTATTTTTTTCTAGAATCAGTGACGCCTAAGGTATATGCAACACCTGGTTTACCTGTTGGTTGGGAGAAAAGATTAGATCGTAATACTAATAGATATTATTATATTGATCATAATAAAGGTCAAACTCACTGGGAACCACCTAATTCTACACCTACTAAAGGTACCCAGTTTATTTAAATCTTTTTAATATATAATTATCAATGGATCATTCTTTCTCAAGAGTAGTCTCTAGAAAAAAGATTATCATGCAATTTGTCCAGAAATTTGAGAACAATACTAAAAAACATGAAAGGTACCACTGAATTTGTGGTGTACCTTTAACTCTTGAACTTGAAGGCAATGTTTAGATATTCTTCAATCAGATAAATAACCCAGGACCAAATTTACTGGTTGTTTTACTGATTCCAAAGTGTAATTGACAGAACAAATGTGACAAAGCCAACAAAAATTTACTGTAATTAAATTGTCATTAAAACTCAATATCCAGTCTGCTGTCCATATCACTTCTAAGTAACTTTGTTTCTCCAATAAAGGCACCTATACAGCTAAATTAAAAGAAGAACCAACAACACCATCATCATCATCATCTGGTTTAAAACGTTCTTTTTCTTCTCCTGATATCATGAAATTAATGGCAGAAGAACAGCAACAAAAACAACAACCTTCTGTTAATAGATCTGTTAAACCTTCTCCAAGGTAAGATTTCTATGTCAATATTTTCACCACAAATTATTCTTTATAATTTATACTTTCTTCAATCTGAATTGTTCTAGGTATTTTGTTTCCTCTCTTATTTGCTACTTTCTCGATTTGATACAAGTTTTCCAATGATTTTCATTGAAATTAAATAGAGCATTTGGCTGGTTGAATTATGTTTGAATGTAAACATCCTCTGATCCGAATTAAATTCAGTTAACTTCGAACTGCACATAATTATGCTTAATTTAGGCAAAAAGCTAATAAAATTGATGAAACACTGGAAAACTTTAAATAGTGTAAAAACTTCTGTGTTTTACATTTCAGAATTGAACCTAAAACTTATATCAAAGCTCCTGTAAAGAGACGTGATTTAAATCCAGTATATGGAAATGTGGTTGGTATTTCTAAATTTAAGACAATTTTACTGTTATTTGTAACATATGAGGTTATGACCATAATAACTTTTGATGGCTCAACAAAAATAGGCTTTGGCCTATGAAATTAAATTCTTTACAAAACTGTAATATGGTTTCAGAGATATTAACTTAGCTTTTAAAATATTTCATAGCAAAATTGATGTGAGTTGCAATATGGTTAATTTGAAAATTACTTCTGTTAATAATTGACAAAATCTTGGAAATTGTTTTAAAAGCCATTTTGAATACATACCACATTGCTTATGCTAAAATCCCTGTTTTTGGATCAATATCAAGCATTTTAACATAAATTTTAATCAGAAATCTATTTTTGAATGATTCAAGATGACAGGTCATTACCATTGTGATGTCACAATCAAAATTTGTCATACAGTAAAATGGATTAGTCTTACTTATACTGACCTCTGTTAAAAATGTGTGATAGATAAGTAGATGAATATGTCTTATCTTAATCAGTATGTTCAGATTAAGGAAGCGAAGAAGGGTATGGAATTTTATGGTGTAATGCTTTTCACGAGTTTTTTGTCTCCAGTTTTTTTTTTTTCAAAGATTTTACCACAACAAAACTTGATATGAAACTGTTTACTGGTTCTCTTATTTTTCTTACTTTACTTCTGTGTTGATTTTGAATGATGTTGATTGTATGATTGTTGATAATAGTTTAAGAATAGGCATACACTTGAATTGTCATTGTGTGAACCAGTACGTCCCTTATCCTTCACTCTTTTCATATTTGTAATAAATGTACCAAATGAATGATCACACAGTGATTATATTATTCTAAAAATGTGAACAAAAATAACGTAGAAACATGAGTAAAGTCCAATCATCCCTTTTTTACTAAATTCAGAACACACTAATTAATGACAAATACTTTATTATATGAAATATTTTTGTACATATAAATATAATAATTTATATTTCAGGGTGCTGCATTAACTGGGTTAAGAAATCTAGGGAATACATGTTTTATGAATTCTACAATACAATGTTTGAATCATACCACTCCATTAGTTACCTATTTTCTAAATGATTATTATGAAAGGGATATTAACAGGTAAACCTTTTTATTAAGAAGACATTTGAGCAATAAGCAATACAAAGGTACAAAATTGCAATGCAAAAATCAAAAGCACTAGTTGGGAAATCAAGAACACCCGTATTAGGATAGCAAGATAATTGTGCTTGTAGATGAACTCTAGCTTTAAGCTTCTATAAATTCTTTTTGATGAAATTTGGAATTCTTAATCTTTTGCTTTGGTGAAACAGAGGAAACTGGTTGCTTATTCAATCTAAATGCCTTGTAAACTTGACAGTTATCTTGCTAATGATGTACAGCTGCAATATTGAAGTCAGAGTTGTATTTGCTTGATTAACATTTTGCTATTTTGTTATATATCTTCTGTGCATTGTTGTGTTTCATTATTAGATCAAGTTTTCTGGGTATGAATGGTGAAGTAGTTGATGAATTTGCTGTAGTTACTAAAGCCTTATGGTCAGGACAATATAGATGTATAACTCCTAGAGATTTAAAGGTAAAAAGGTGTAAGACATTCAGATTTTAAGAAATTTATGTGCATACTGTCATGAATTTGAAGTGTGTTTACAATGTTTTGATCACATAAATTTAATATTTGCGTAGAAGATATTTATGCCCATAAATGTTGAACCAAACTTGAGAAAAAAGATTTTTATCATTTGAAATCATCCAAGACCAAAAATTGTTTTGATATCAAAATTTGATATAATATCTGCCAATATCAATTTTCTAAATCAACTACTTTTACAATAAGATTCTTGAAAATATATATTAAACTTTAACATTGGTTATTGCTTCTTTAAGCTTGAAGAACTCAGTTTCACATTTATATTCATCATTAAAAGTCAACACAAAAGCTAATAGATTTTCATGATTTAATACAATGCAAGTGGTGAAACTGAAATGTGATATCTTGTTACAGTGTATCATGTGGTATATATCCACCTTTATAGCCTAGATAATGAATGAGCACTTCTATATAATATTCAGCCAATCAGAGTCAATCTATGAAATGAAATTTAAAATATATAAGGTATATAATTCTATTTCATGGCATTAGTAGTAATCATAAACATTCATGTTTCAGAGTACAATTGGTAAATATAATCCAATGTTTGCTGGTTATGAACAACAAGATTCTCAGGAATTTTTAACATTTTTACTGGATGGATTACATGAGGGTTTGAATGAGGTAAGAATATAACTGTAAAACATTGTAACTGTTATTTTCCAGTCTTAGTGAAGAAGGATTACATACGTATAACAATTTGACTGACGGAATAGATAAATATGTACATTGCAATGAGCTTACAGTATCCTTCATTTATTTTGAATGATCTAATTCAATTTTTTTATAATGTCATGTTGTTAACAGTATAATTGAAAGATCATGTTTTATTAGGTAAAACGTAGACCCCAGATTCCAGATCAAAATAATGATAATATACCAGATAGAGAAGCTGCAGAATTAGCATGGGCTAATCATAAAAAAGTGAACAGTTCAGTCATTGTTTCATTGTTCCAGGTAAGATTATTCCTTTGATTAAATTCTAATTAGTTATCTATTTTTCAATTTTAACAACCGTGTTGTTGCTACTTGTATATGACTGTATAGTCTAACAAAGATGTCTATACCCATCTAGAAACTGTTTGAAAGATATACAGTGGCTGTATTGTTTATCTCTCGAGTGACTGTTGGACATATACAATCCAGATCTATATTGTGTCTAGTGTTATACCCACAAATATCTTCACCAGACTTGATATTTTCAATAGATGTATAATTATGAAAATAATATAGAACTAAATCATTAAGAGTCATTCTTAATGATATTCTAATGCTTATGATAACTAGATAAAATGCTCCAGATCCAGTATTTATTCACCTATGGTGTATTATAATAGTTGAGGTTGTTACTAAATATTATATTGTGTATATATTGAATAATATGTTATTTCAGGGTCAGTTAAAATCAACTGTTCAGTGTCGGACTTGTGGTAAACAATCTGTTACATTTGAAGCTTTTATGTATCTATCCTTACCTATACCAGATAAATCTAGATGTACATTGAAGGTTAGAAATACAATTCTTAAACAACATCATAAACACAATGCATGTACAAAACCTTTAACACCATTCAAATTTAAACTTATATTCTTGTAATCACTGGATTTACAGGAAGTTGAGGAGAAAAGAGCTGTCAGTCATCAGGATGGGCACAAATTAACAAATGCAAGAGGCTGTTCAAGTAAAAAATGCCATATCAGAGCAGTTTGAAGTGACAGGTGGAGATTAAAATAGAGTTTTGTAGTTTACTGTTGATAGTAGTATAATGTTTCTCTTGAGCTCAATATAACTGACTTAAAACATTCACTTTATTTATATATAAAATCTGTTGAACCTTATCCATATTATGTATTTTATTGCTAGGATTGTATACAAACATTTTTAAGACCTGAAATGATGACTGGTAGCTCTAGATATAAATGTAGTGTATGTAAAGTACCTAGAGATGCTGTTAAACGTATTGAATTATGGAAACTTCCTGCTATATTATTGATAGGATTAAACAGGTAATATAGTGATACTTTATTTTTAGAATAGACCTATTTAAGCAGAAGACACAATTGAGGTCATATCTCATTAGATTTATAGAGTCAATAATATAATTTGTATTGTAATACAATAACCTTTTAAGCTTCTGGATGTTCTTATTTGCTTTATTCAATGATACACCTTCAGTGCAGCTATCTATATTACTTTTCAACAGTAAAATTACAATCAGTTTCCCTTCAATACAACAAACCATATGTGGAAGTCAAGAGTGTAAATACAAAATATAATAATATGGTGATAGCTTATGTAGTTACATGGTTGAATTTTTTGGAACTTTTTGCTATCAACAGATTTGTTAGTGATGGTATGTGGATGCAAAAGAAAACTAACTATGTAGATTATGCTGTAACTGATTTAAATCTAAGTGGTTACATTGCTGGTCCTGTGTCCAAAACTTATAATTTATATGCAGTGTCTGTAAGTTTTAGAACTTTTGTTAATAGTCAAAGTATACTTAAGACTTACATCATTTTTTTAATATTTCGTTCCGAAATTTTAAAGATGAAAAATCCTTCAAATTACGACAAATATATTGGGGAACCCCTGTTGATTCCAAGAATGATCTTGATCAGCCCTTATTTTTGTTTCTAATGTTCTTGTAAATTCAGATATTTTTTTCATGAATTTTTCCTTGCAGAATCATTATGGAACTATGGAAGGGGGACATTGTAAGTAATATTTATTTCATCCATAAAATAAACACGAAAATCTTTAGAAAGAATACATTAAACAGAAATACATTTAAAATTATGTTATTAATAAGAAGATTGAATTAGAAAAGATATCATCACATACCTATTGACAATAATATTGTGTCTTTATCCCATGTTTCTCAATTTAAATTGACCTAACCTCAGGGTTCATTTAAGCGGTATCGCATTGCAGAGTCAAAATAACCCATTTTGTGATCCAATATTTCCTTTCCATTGTATATTTTTCATGTGAACTTTCTGCCAAATCTAGAAATATACAGTGACTTGAAGTAACTAACATCATTGACAAGATCAACTGAATTCTACATCTGAAACATTTAAAATCTGAATTGAACTCTGGCTTACTTGTGTAAAGCAATACATCAGTATCATCTAGAAAAATTATATGAGTTGGATGTCAAATATATATATTTTGTTTGATATACATATGTTTTAGATACAGCATATTGTCAGAACCCTTCCTCTAGAAAATGGTATAAATTTGATGACCATGAAGTCTATGATATATCATCATCTGATGTCAAGGTAAATGTATTTAATCAATCTCTTTGAGGTATATACAAAGTAGCTTGTAGAATAAAGATATATTTTCTTAATAAAATCAGATGTCAATGTATATTATGTTTCTGATAGACAACCAGCAAATGCTGCAACTGAAGAATTGCCTCCCTTTGTCAGATCTAGAAGTAAACGAATTTAGTTTTTTGAAAGTTTGATCAAAAGATAAAATGTCTGAAATGAGTAGTCTTTTAATTTTTTTTTTTTTTTTATTAATTGTCTATTTCAGTCATCTGCAGGTTACCTATTATTTTATACGTCTATGAAGTTACCAGTGCCTGAATATAAACCTCAATTCTAATGATTTCTAAAACTGAAAAATGGTGGAAAAATTTTTGAAATATTTTCAGTGGTGAAGAATTATTATTAAACAATAAGGTGCTTTCTATAACTTACTGAATTGAAAGTAGAATATAATAATAATGATTAAACTGAACACTTCAGAAATGGTGCAGGTCCAATATAGTGCTTTAGATTTGGGCAAAAAATAGCAACAAAATTCATACCACTATATTTTTAAAAAAGAGCAAACAAACCAGGAAAAATGATTGAAATTAATATATAATGTCTTCATACATTCAAGCCGACAGAAAATCTAGGTATTTTAATAAATCAGTGCTAAATAGTATTACTTTTGAAACATTGATTTATTTGTAAGATGATTATTTATTAAATAATTTCGTATAAATGGAAATGGTAAATTGCAAATGGATTTAAAGACATTTTCATATCTTGTTATTCTTACTATCTTTATGTAATTTGTAATGAAAACTGAAGATTTTTTATATTTTTTCTTTAAAGTTGAAAATATATGTTGGATGACTTGGATACTTTTCCATTATTTTGAAATGTATGCAAATGCAATTTTTTCTTTCATTTTTGTATTCAAATGATGTAAATTTACTATTGATACTATCAGCTATATCCAGCTATATAATCAACTATAGGCTATCTGTAGATGGGAAGGGTGTAATTAACTAATATGTATAAACCTTACTGTGATATTTTAGTTTAAAAATGTTGTCTGATCAAAATGCACTATTTCAATTTTGTTTTGATTTTCATGTATTAATTCTGATATGTTACCATTAAAAAAGTGGTGTAAACAAATGCAATATTAATTTGTATTTTAAACAGTTAAACTAACCAAGAGTCTTGTGCAGTACTTGCCATTCTCATTTGTTTAAGAGCCCAAAACAAACAGCGTATGGTACTGATTTGGTTTATGCATTCTCTAAAATAACTTTTGGACAATGGAACTTGGCATTTGGTCCTTTTAGTTCAGACACTAAATGTATACTATTGGGAGATAAAAAGTGAAATAATTGTTGATTTTAATTTTAAAATTTGAATTTAATTTAAATATGTATATATCATATTTTGTATCTTTAATTGTTGTATTACAGAATATAAATTTGTTGATTTAGTAGTTTTGTGTCTTTTTATAATGACAGTGGGTCCTCTAAATCAGTCATCTTAACTGAGTAAAAAGACTCCAAGCTCAAAGCCTTTATAATTGTAACAATTATGCTGCAACATTTGCCTTTTGAAAGGAAGTGATGCAAGGTGAAAGAGTAATTTCACTAACATTCTTGAAGAAAAGGGTAGAAATATATACTTTTAGCTTAGTCAAATAGAAAGAGATGGGAGTCTTTTATTCAGTTGGTTTGGATACTATGCACATATACATGTCAGCAGAAAGGGATTAGCTCTACACAGAAACTATATGAAATCATGTTGGTTTTATAATATCCAATAATACGTAATGCAAGATTTTATGATATGGAAAATTCTAGAAAGGGGTTGCACCAATTTGCATCATTCCCATTTGGAGTAAGAAATCTGTAGTTCCTGCAATTAAACGGAAAATGATGATGATGTCACTCATCGCAAAGTATGCTTGTTTCATTTGCTTGTTTCATTAAGATACTTCACGGTAAGAGACAACATCAAACATTTAGTTTTATTGGAATTGCAAGAACCGCAGACGTCTGATCAAAAATTGGAATGATGCAAATTGATGCTATCAGTGTTTCCGATAAACATAAAACTTTATGAAAATCTCTTTATAACCCCTTTAATTATTAAATTGTGCGAATCACCTATAAATAGAAAGTTGGGAAATCCCCGGAAGTTACTTTGTTTACGAGGGGTTCCCGCAAATACATTCAAAATAATTCGATGAAGTTCATTGGCTCATTTATATGACGGACGGGAATTCCCAAATAGATTTGGCGAACTGTAAGGATTACCCTCGGTGAAATCCCTCAGGATAATCCGCTTTTATCACGATCATCCGTGTTCCTATAACTGTGAGTAGTATTTCAATACATTTATAGATGTTATCTGAACATGATTTTTTCCGTATTTCAATTTTTGAGTAATTTTTCTTGCTGTAAACAAAGATTGTTTGGGCTTGATAGCTAGCGTAACAACCTTCATCTGATAGCTGACCTACATAGAAACATAACATTTCCAATAATAATCAAAGATGTCAAATTTTCACAATATTGGCTCTACGAATAGTGTCCTAACTATCAACAGAATCTAAAAATGAGACTGTCTCGTTTAACCTGCCATAAATACCAAATTCAAAAGCTATGAAAATGTCAATTCATAAAAAGCTTGTCAAAATGGACTCCTCCGTTTTGTGGCAACCTTCGCCAATTTTTGATTCTGGAAAAGTGCTCGGAAACTCTAATTGGGTGATCTGCATCATAATTGTAGGTTGTGATAATTGATTTGTAATAATTGATAACTGATATACCATGCTTTAGATTTTTTTTTGTCGAATTCGTAGTACAACTGGATCAATTTGGGTTTGTGCCAAAAATATTTGACTCGGCCTTTTCTCTGAAAGCTTGATGTTTTGGTCAGAGGGTGCCCCTTTTCGTTTGATGATTCAGAGAAATCTATGAAGGAAATATTTTTTAACTTGGTGTAATTCTGTTCTGTATATAAAGGAGCACATTTCTATCGCATTATATTTAAAATTTAAAAAAACATATGTTTTTGACAGATCAGACAAACCTGGTCAAATTGTACATTTTGTCGCGGGAAGGGGTTGTAGGTTGTGAGACATTTGTGTACGTGGACGAGTCTAAATCTTAGCATACGAGAAAATTTCTCAATTGATTTGCAATTTCGAATTCCAGTAATCCATAACTACATTTATTTCTTCGGTAAGAATAATTCTGTCTGTGCTAAATATGAATGAATTCAAATGTGGTTTTATTTATAAGTTCAAATTTTAAGGAAAATGTCTTTAAAGAAAATTCGAAATATTTGTAAACTAAAAGGGGTGGTAGGTAGAATGGAGGAGTTCATTATTTGTTTGATGAAGGTATTTGTCAAGCTAGTTGAAGAATGATTTGAAAAAAAATAAGTCAGTTTGAGTCTTGTTAGTGTTATTAGAATTTATATTGAAATAATCAGCATCATTTACTTATCTTGGGTGCTATGAATCATGAAGCAACTGGAAATCAATCTGCAGATCTGGTGTGTAGAGGTCTCATGTACATAATATCCTTAAATTTTATTATTCATGGAATTTTGACCTGTTAACTTCATGATACAAATCGTATAGTAGCCCCTGTTTGGTTCTAGTAACACATATCCTATCTTGGCATGATTGACATTAATCATTATGTCACTGTCACATTAATTGAATTAATTAAATTTCAGCACTGATTAACTGAAATAAATTGAGAAATATTATTGCTAAAAAAAAATGCATCATTTTTGTTGTAGATATTTATTGTTATGGTAACAAAATAAAGAAAGTATTGATAGTTTTTCTACAATATAATAGGTGTCCTACGGGACGCAGAACAATTTAATAGTACAATGTCAATGAATAGAAGATTAGATGATCAGGTAGGTGTAGATACTGTCTAGACAATGCCTATCAGGATTCTTTATACCTGAAATTAACTCACATAATGATATTGATAAACCTAATTAGCCAGAAAATTCTAAAACAACAGTTCATCAGATGATATGAACTCCCATTAAACATGACATTAGATTTCTGGTCCTATCTATGACTAATTCAAATTTGTAACCTTATATCAGATTTGTTAGGATAATAGTTTTAATCTTTATATAACAGTTTAATTAGCCAAGACACTTTCCCCATGATAGCCCTTTGGGACTGCATCTGCATCACTGAGAAACTAGGTTGAGAAATATGAAGGTATTATCTTGACCTATGCCAAGATCGAATCTTGGACTAGCACGGTTAATGAGAAAATGTCTAACTCACTGTGCCATCCCAGCTCCACCTTTAGCCTTTTTTTTAGTGACAATAACACCCTGACTAGCATCAGAAATGTTCTCCCTAGGGTGTCCAGGCTTTTGGATATTTTAAGGGATCTTACCTTTTCATGAATATACTATCTGAATAATTGAAAGTCTGATATTATTGTTATTATGTCATTAGGCTATATTTGATTATGAAATCTTCTCAGAGTAGTCAGTTAAGTAAATAAACAAACAATTCTATCATTTTTTTATAGCATCGTGTTAATCCAACGGAACCATTTCAACGTGTAATAGCACCAACATCACAGAGATATAATACAGAAGTAGCAGAGAATTTGTCTCGTAGTAATTTATCATATAGTATGCCTGGCTTTCCGTAAGTTTTTTGTTAAACCATCAGAAAGCTTTAGCTATCCAGTAATCTTATACATAGCTTTCAGACTTATTCTACTTCTATGATTTCAATTATTGATTGTGGTGTGTAAGTTTTGTCTTTGTGAATTGAGTTAATTCTGAATGAAATGCAAATAGGAATTTATCTTTAGGTCATGAGTAGTTTGAGGAAAATGTTTGTTGAAATTTTGATATTTCACCTCTAAATATTTGTTTCATGTAGAGCATGCCACCAGGCTAGTATTAAATTTTTAATCTTTAAGTTGCCTTTTCTTGGCCATTGTACAACCAGAAGACTATTTTTTTTTCCAGGGTGAATCAAGGTGGTCATCATCCTCCACCAGTCCATCACCCATTAGCTGGTGTACCAGCTCCATCCCAGCCCCACCCCCCTCAACCAGCAGTGCAGCCACCACCAATATCATCACAACAACAGGTACAGTGTATAGCATTTAGTTTGAATACCAGTGGCAGCATTATTGTCTTTGTTGTTTGCAGTTCAAGTAATCAGTGTTTGAAAGGTTGACATTTCTACAAAGTTGAAAATTTAAATCAAAGTCAGAGAAATTACAGAATTTGTTCAATTTATCTCTTCAAATACAAAGTCCAACTGGAAATAATTAAGTGAAGAGTTGAGAGAAATTGTTATGATGGGTAGTTCTAATTTGTCTTATGTTATTAGATGTCATCATTATCAGAGGGTAGAAGTGCTTTTGATACTACCAGTCAACATGCTTTACAGAGGATATTTCCTATGGAATCTGAGGTAATTATTTCTCTTGTTAAATGATAAAATAGTCGCTGTTGACTGAATTGATTTCAAAAGCTTTTTGGATGCCATGTTAATGTTTTATGTAACATACCATTTTTCCCTGGAATGTTTTGAGCTAGAGGAATCTTACTCTTAATGTAATAAACAAAAAAATAATGTTTTCAAGAGAACACCAAACAAAGAACATAATGTTATCAATTTGATGGAAAAATTGCAAAATATCCTAGTACTACTAGGCCCTTTGTGATTAGTGACATCATCAAACAACAGACATCTGATTGTAAAATGGAATTGCCCTAATTGATGCTATCACTGTCCCTGCTTTACATACAAATTTAGAAATTCTCTTTAAATTAATCTTAACTTTTTCAGTCCCATAATGCACAGGTTCAAGGTCAGCAGCAACAGTTTCAAAGATTAAAAGTAGAAGATGCTTTGTCCTATCTAGACCAAGTTAAATTACAATTTGGTAATCATCCTCAAGTCTATAATGATTTCTTAGATATTATGAAGGAATTTAAATCTCAAACGTAAGTATGATAAGTCTATGTTGGATACTTTATTATAACACTATATAGCTCATTGTTATAAGATCAATTAATATAACTAGATTCAAATATACCACAATTTTATTTTGGAAATCCCATAATAATGATAAAATTTCACAAATCTGGTCAAAAAATGAAAACAACATGCCTTAAATGCAATGTCAATATTAAATAATTAGTGACAGGTCTCAATAGAAACTCTGAAAGATGGGTTCCCTTATTTTTATTTATGAAAATGAAAATGCTTATACTTATATGAATAGAAAGTAGAGGTGTTCTAATGACTTGGAAAAATACCAGTTTGTCTCAAATGTCAATAATTAATTCATAATTTGAAAAGAATTACCAGCAGAATTCCAATGAGTGACCGATCAAGAAAGGTCAGAAAGTCTCTTTTTGTTTATCCAGACTATGTATACATGGACATTTATGATTGGTTAAAACTCTTAATTATATGCAATAAGAACATAATGATTCAGAATATATCATAATACACTAGAAACACCAATTAATCAAATAGCTTTCTTAATTTGACACTACAAAATAAGGAAACCCATCTTTAATTGAGAATGATATAGAATTATAACGAATCTAATTCGATAAGAGTAAATGCTAATTGTGTTAATTTATTGTTTATTTTCAGTATTGATACACCAGGTGTAATAAATCGGGTATCTAATTTATTTAAAGGTCACCCTGACCTCATTGTAGGTTTTAATACATTTTTACCACCAGGATATAAAATAGAGGTACAATCTGAAATGATTAATGTACATCAACCAGGACAACAGGTTGTATCTATATCACAGAGTAATGTTCTACAGTTAGCATCAGCTACGGTATGTATTTAACATACTTCTTTATTTCATTGTTGCTGGAAAACATTGACTTCATCCAAACAATTTTATATATCTCATTTAGGTATTAACCATAGCACAAAACAAAAGGATTGTAAAAAGGCCCCATTGTGTTGAAATTGCTAGAAGCTTAAAGTTTTATTCAACTCGCATTTTCTCAGCAATGCCAACTGAAAACTGGAACTGAAATGGCTGTATTCAGAAATACAGTTTATTTGAATCTTGTATCCACAGAGCATGGATAGAAAATATCTACGTTTGCTTTGGATGTCAAGAATTTTACAGAGAAAAATATGATATAAACTGTTTTTTTTTATCAATAATAACTATATGCTTTGTGTTTTTCAGCCAATGCACCATCATCCACCCAGTAGTGCTAGTCAGGGTCAAAACAATAATTCATCTGCCTCACATCATTCATATCATCAATCACCACGTCATAATCCTGACCCTACCCCTACACCACCATCTTCACAACAACAACAACAACAGTCGCAGCCCCCACAACCACCACAACAGCAACAACAACAACATAATACTAACAACCAACAACAACAGCAACAACAAGGTGGTCAACCAGTAGAATTCAATCATGCTATAAATTATGTCAATAAAATAAAGGTAGGAAATGTTTCCTGGTCAAAATTTTTATTGTGTGGGTTTCACAATTTTTATACGCCCACATCTCTCTATGTGGACGTATATTGTCGGCACCCCTGTCCGTCTGTTGGTCCTTCCGCTTGTCAACATTTACACTATCAGTCCATTACATTTTTAAGGTGATTTACATAAGACTTACAAAGATTTAATTTCCATTCATTCTACTTTAAAAATGACTATTTATGTTCGGAAATGTTTTTGTATTTGAATGATTTCTATTGTCTGATTACAATAATAAAAATATTTTTTATAATCAGGTATTTTGTTGCTGAAGCTTTTACTTGTATTTAAGTATTTTAGAGAAACTCAATGTTATTATGTAGGTCTCAAGATTTGGTATGTTTATTACAGGTCAGATTTCAAGGCCAGCCTGAGATCTATAAACAATTCCTTGAAATTTTACACACCTACCAAAAAGAACAGAGAAATTTAAAGGAGGTAGGTACATGATGAATTTGTAGAAACAAAAATAGAAATGTAAGCTTTAAGCACAAAGTTCTCTCATTGTCAGGTTTATTGTTCTAACCATTTTCTGTTGAAAATCAGAAATAGGCAGCAATTTTCAATTAAAGTGTACTTTAGAAAAAAAGGAAAGATAAAATCCTTTTTCACACGAATATCTTAAGTTCTCAAAGATCTTTTTTTTTTCAACCATGGAGAAATTTTAACCACCTAAAATAATGCAGAATGACTTCTCAATGAAGATCCCAAACTTGTCTATGACTGTAAAGATTAGAAACCGTAATGACAGCATGTACTGTATAACCACACAGACAGACCATGTCAAGATTCCAGGGCTGTCACTGACTGAGTAATAGTCTGCGCTGTTTTGCAATAAAAACATTATTATTTTTGTAGGGCTTAGTATCATCTACATATAAACCTTTAACAGAGGCAGAAGTCTATTCACAAGTAGCCAAGTTATTTCAAAATCAGGAAGATTTATTGGCAGAATTTGGTCAGTTTTTACCTGATGCAAATGGCTCTTCAGCCTATGTGAATTCTTATGCCAGCATATTCTCATGTGCTGTGGTAAGTGTAAGTATTCTCCATTTTCAGAAATTTAGATGTGTTATCATTTCTCATACATATAGATCATATATTTTCTATGTTCTATTAAGGACTGAGTTTTCCAGAATAGTTTCAAAAATAAAACTCAATGAAATTGTCACCAACATTTCTATTCAGGTGCTCTCTACCTTTCTCTCAAAGGAGATAACTCTTAATACAGATTTGATGTAAGACCACAATATCACAATAGGGTAGACCATGATATTATTTGATATAAAAATGTGACCTTAGCATTGTAAGATAGAGGGTTAAGTTGCAGGAATTTCACCTTCAAGTCATTGCTTTCTATGAAAAAAAATTAGTTATTGATATAAAGAGTCTTTAATATATAGAGTTATTAATATGAAGAGTCATTAATATAAAGAGTTATTAGATAGTTATTAGATATAAAGAGTTGGAGACGAAGATAACTTGCAATAATCAACAATATATTTGATATTATAGAATGATTCATCAGCATTAGGAGTTAGAAATGACCATTCTTCTACTGTCAAAAAACCTGGTTTTAATAATAAAAACCCCTCATCAAAGGGTCATCAATTAAAACGACCATTACAAGGATCACAGATGCCAGCAAAGGTAAGAGAAGCTTTATGAAGTGTTATATTTATCTTGAAATGACCCTAAAAGTTAAAGACATTCTCTTTAGTCTTGATGTTATATTTTGATTTATTAAGGTTAAGTATTTATTGACAATGAGAAATTTTACATATGTTTGTTATCATTACTGTATTATAAAACCTTGTCTATCTCGTGATAATCCTTCAGAGTGGTTGATACCTATGTTTCTATTGGTATGAATGAATATAAATTGTCTTTCTAGAAACCAAAAACAAGTAGTTTAAAAGACGTATCACTAGCTGAAGCAGGAAAGTATGGTACCCTAAATGAGTTTGCATTTTTTGACAAGGTAAGCCTACTGCTCAGTAGTTAATAGGATACTGTATAATTACTATATCACTGCAGATTTTAGATATGTTATAAATGTACACATGGTAAAATATTATATTGTATTTCTTAATAAGCCTCTTTATAAAATCAATAACAATCAATTAATGAGTTCAAGATTTTAAATGACAATTTTTTTTTTGTTTCATGAAGTTTTTGACTCACTTAGCATATAATATTAAATGAGATAAATCATTATTTGTTTCATAGGTGCGGAAAGCTTTAAGACATCATGAAGTTTATGATAATTTTCTGCGTTGTTTGGTGTTATTTAATCAAGAAGTTATATCTAGATCAGAACTGGTTCAGCTAGTCCATACATTTCTTGGGTAAGATTTGTGTTCAATGTGTTTTAAAGTGATATTGATATTTTTTTTTTTTTACTGCTGAGGTTCAGAATTAATCAACAAATCACAAATTTAATAGTATAAATTTATACTCTTAATTTGATAAATTCTTATTCAATCATCATCAAAAAACTGCAAGACATAATTTTATACATTCACATAGATTCTAGTTCTGATGAAAAGATACACAAACTCTGCTTATTTTTTTAGAAAATATCCTGAGTTATTTAAATGGTTTAAAGATTTTTTGGGTTATAAAGAATCTGGTGGTACAACAGAATCCATACCACAAACAGCTACAACTAAAGAAAGAATTAGTGGTGAACTGGCCATGGAAATAGGTAATGTTCCAACATGTAATCTTATATTTTGAAGAGTAAAATAGAAAAATCACTGTTAACCTTAATAAATTTAGATAGAAAATTCACTTCAATGACCCTCTCAACTCTTCTCACAAGGGAGACTACTTTCTTTGACTTGTATTTCAAGCCTACAACATTACACTATGGGTATAACTCACCATACTTAACTTTGTTAAAATTGAGCCATAATGCTTTGATTCCAATAACAAAATGATATATATTTATTTGATTGTAGATTTTGCTACCTGTAAAAGATATGGAGCTAGTTATAGAGCTTTACCTAAATCTTTTCCACAACCAAAATGTTCTGGGAGAACACCATTATGTAGAGAGGTAAAATATTCTTTAGTTCTGGTTGACCTTATACCAAGTGAAAGCTTATACTTTGGAGATAAACATCTCATTATTTTAATGTTAAATTAGAAAATCTATTGGCTCATTGGTCTTTTGGTGTGTAAATTGATTGTTTCTAAAAAAAAATATAATTGATAATGTTTAATTCAGCACAGATCTAAAAATTTGATTTTAAAGTAGCTTTAAAGAACAGGAAAAAAAAGCATAATAATATATTTTTGCCAACTGACATAAATTGTAATATAAATATATATTACAGGTATTAAATGATACATGGGTATCATTTCCATCCTGGTCAGAAGATTCTACATTTGTTACATCTCGTAAAACACAATATGAAGAACATATTTATAAATGTGAAGATGAGAGATTTGAGGTGAGTTATTGCCCTTGATCTGGTTGTTTGAAAATTGTGCAGAAGTAGTAAATATAGAAAACTATTGTCTGAACAAATACAAATAATGTAATTTGCCTCTATTGTAATTCATACTGGTCTTTTAATTTCAATATGTAACTCATATCTGTGGTTGTCACCAAAACAACAATTAAGGGAAGCTTAATTTCTGTCATCAAGAGTAAAAGTAAAAAGCTAGAAGACAATATAATGTATATGATTTATTTTATAGTTGGATGTAGTTATTGAAGCTAATTTATCTACTATAAGAGCTTTAGAGGGTGTAAATAAAAAATTAAGTCGTATGACACCTGAAGAACAAGCTAAATTTAGATTAGATAATTCTCTAGGTGGTTCTTCTGAAGTTTTACATCGACGAGCCATACAAAGGTTAGTGTTTCTTAAAGACAACACCAGATTACCCTCTTCTTAAATGAAAGAAATAACTAATCATCTTATAATAACATTATAACAAAGTTTTATTTTTAATTCATTAACAAGATGCAAATTATACAAACAATACATGTAAATAGAAACATGCAAATGAATGTTTATATTAAAACTTTTTATTTGAAAATTTTGGTAAAATTTCTAAACTGTATGACTTATAAGTAGTGACATGGTATGATCTATATAATATATATTGTTTGTAGAATATATGGTGATAAATCTCCAGAAATTATTGATGGTATGAAGAAAAATCCCTGTGTTGCTGTTCCTTTAGTCTTGCGAAGGTTTGTCCCTTAAACGTTTTAACAAGAATACCATAATAAGTTACATACTGAAGCTTGTTTTCTAGCTGTCGAATATGAGGAATTATTTCTATTTCCGAAAGACAATCATTTTAAGTGATTGTAAAATTCAAAATATCTATATTTTTCAGATTAAAAGCTAAAGAAGAAGAGTGGAGAGAGTCACAAAGAGGATTTAATAAAATATGGCGTGAACAAAATGAAAAATATTACCTCAAATCATTGGATCATATGGGCATCAATTTTAAACAAAATGACATCAAAACAATTCGCTCAAAAGCATTATTAAACGAAATAGAGACCATATATGATGAGGTAGGATTGTTTTACATGTTTCATTGGAAAATTTATTGAATCTGAAAATAGAATGTGATTCTGTTAGATGAGATGTTTAGAATTGAATACATATTGATTACATGGTAGTCATGGTAATAAAAGAGGACAGTAATGAATGATGCTTTAATTGCCCTGTTCTTGTACATTTCTCAAAAATAGAATATGGTTGTTTTTACAGCACTTTGCTTTGGGTTCTTGAAGATTTTTATTGGCATCATATAGGTATTCTTATTATGTCTGATGTTGTGTGTTTTTTGTCTTTGACTTATTCTAATGAAGTTTGATATATTTAAAAACAATTATTTATTCAGCATCAAGAACAGATGATAGAAGGACAGAATGAATCTAGTTCACCACATCTATCTTATATCTTTAAAGATAGATCAGTTATAGATGATGCTACCAATTTAATAACACATCATATGAAGAGACAAACTGGTGAGTATTATATGTTGAGTATGACTAAATCAAGACTAAATATTTTGTTATTTAATATATCAATCGCTTATGCTCTAAATAGATAGCAGATTGGTAAATATTATTGTATATGTATTTGACCTCAGTAAGTGAGAAAATTATCTTCTGACCTGTTGTTCAATCTAGGTATAGGTTGAAATAATTCACTATTTTTTTTTTTTAACACATTTTTCCTAAATTGTTTAATTTTTTTGGTGAATTTAATATTAAGAAATATTGATGACATTCTATTTACATGGATGAATTAGTATTGTCCATTTATTCTAAATTTAACTGTCCACCTTTTTGTCTATGTTGATTGATTGTCTCTTTTCATGTGTTAATATATTGGTCAAGAATATTGGTCAAACTTTTGATTTGGTCTTAATTTGTAAGAAATTTGATATATAATGCTAATAATTGAGACATAAATGTCAACTATAGAAGGCGAGAGAATGAATTTTTGAAACTAATATATTTTGTATTTGTAGGCATACATAAAGAAGATAAAAGTAAAATTAAATTATTATTAAATCATTTTATACCTGATATGTTTTTTTCACCACGTGGAGATCTTAGTGATGATGAAATGGATAAAGATGAAGGTGATATTTTATTATATTTAAAAGAAAAGTATGATTGAAGTAATTACTTTCTCCATAGGTTATAGATTTGAATCCTTTTCTCCAGAATCTTTTCTAGATTTCTTTTCGTTTCATCTCCTTTCCTGGAATGATGGGTACAGTTTGTACTACTAGAAAGTATCTACTATACTGTATTGTAATGTATGTGTATGATATTCTAGATATGGAAACAGATGATTATGAGAAACCAGAGATTAAGAAAGAAAAGATAGATAATGATTATAAAGATGATGATAATAGGAGTAATGATGTTAGTATAACGTCTACTGAACCAGCTAGTGGTGATAAATTACTATCAGAAATAAAGAAAGAACCAGTTGATACACCAGCCCAGTCAACACCAGCTAATACTGATACTACAGATATTAAACCACCTCTAGTGAATGGTGTACATGATGATCAGGATGATGATGTAAGTATCTTGAATCTCAAAGTCCTGATTGATTTCCTTTTTGAGTACTTAGACACTCTTAGTAATCATTGCTTTATGGTACCAGTGTATGTCTGACTACACAGAGTATAATGTATTTATATTTCAATCTTCGATCTAGTTGTCCTTATGGACTTTTACCCAAGAATTGCTGTGTGCTTTGTGCTGTTTTGGTTTCTTCTTGTGATTGCTAGGAATTGGGCAAGTGACTGATAGAATCAACTCTTGACTCCATTTCATTTTTTTGTTCAAATCTACAGTCTTAACATTTTGATGTTATTATGAATCCTTATGATTTTGTTTCCAGGATGAACGGTATTCATTGTTCTTTACCAATAATAATTGGTATTTATTTTTCCGTTTACATCAATTATTGTGTGAGAGATTACATCGTATTAATACATTAACTCAGAAAATATTACAAGATGATAGTCGTAAAGAAAGAAAAGATTCTACTGCCATTGCTTTACGATTGAAAACACCATGTATGTTTTACAATTTACTATTCTTTACTACCAAACAAGATATAGCATTTTACAAATGTTAAACAAGTCTTTTAAGTTTTCAAAATGACAACTTTTTCAATGCCACATTATTACCCTTACTTTGAAATGCAGCTTTACTTTATTAGATGTTATTTCTAATCAAATTTCATGTAGATTCCCCATCTTGGAAACATAACCATTGAAATTTAACAAATTTTCTGTTGGTAAGTGGCTGTTCTGGTAATGTTCGGCTATGAAAAGGCATACATAGAGTTACTTCCCTTATGGAAATTGTGAGACCTGATAATTTTTATTAAGTGACCGCTCGGTCATTGGAATCTCTTCGTAATTAGCTAATTATGAGTTAATCATTGACTTCTGAGACAAACGGTTATTTTTCCCAATCGTTAGAACACCTCTACTTTCAAGTTTATATAAGTATTAGCGGTCCAATAATGGAATATATAAATAAATAAATGAAAATAAGGGAAACAGCATGAATTAACCTCAGCTATGAAATCATGATGAGAATTTTTGATTGTCAGTATAAAAGATATGGTTATATTTTAGTTGAAGTAGAACCAGAAGAATATTATACCTATTTCTTAGAAATGATCAAGAATTTATTAGATGGTCATTTAGAATCCAGTACGTATGAAGATCAACTTAGAGAAATGTTTGGTATTCAAGCTTATATAGCGTTTACTATGGATAAATTAGTTCAAAATATAGTTAGACAGGTTAGTACTAGTCCAAAATATAACAATGATATATATGAAGGGTTGGTCACTTCATCAGAGTAAAAACTTTTCTTGCTTTGAATTTAGATAACCATTCATATGATTAATCTTTTTAAATGCATTATGAAGTCTAGTTTAGAATAAAGTGTGAAAAAATGATTTAATGCAATATTATTACACAGATAATTATAGCATTTTAGAAATTGGATGAAATGTATATTTTGTTTTATAACATAACTAATTAATTGATTGTTTGTTATTAGTTACAACATATAGCATGTGATGAAACATGTCAAAGAGTAATGGACATATATCATGAAGAAATGAAGAATAATGCTACTGGAGGTAGATTAGCTACACAACACCAACGATTAGCACCAGAATCAGCTTACCAACGTCGTGTAGAACAATTACTTACAGAAGAAAACTGTTTTAAAATTGTTCTTGTAAGTATAGTTTTTAATTTCATTTTTTGCTTTAACAATGATAATTTGTTTCTCTAAGTACTAATATTATTTAGGCTGACAGCTGAGTAGACCATAATTTAGAAAAAAAAGAGGGGGTTTTACTATTTGTTTGACAGCTCATTGATTGTTTATTTAATGTTGGTTTTGTTTATTTACAGTATAAACAAGAATGTAAATTAACATTAGAGTTATTAGATACAGAACATGAACAGATAGAAGATCCAGTGGAGGTAGAGAAATGGTCAGAATATGTAGAACAATATGTAGCACAAGATGAATCTATATCTGATGAATTAAAAGATCAGTTAACTAAGAAACCAGTCTTTTTACCACGGTATGTACAGTATGTACTTAGTTTGTATCATCAAAGAACTGTGCTGAATATAAGCATTTTTCTCAGTAGATTTATCTGAAATTATCTCTGTATATGTGAATGGTTTTTGAAAATTTGTGAAATCAGTCATAAATTGTAGCAACTAATTCACAGTATAATTTCTAGTATAGTTTCTATTGCACAGTCGGTTAGATCTTTGGTTCTTTACATGGCATCATTTGATTGGTTACATCATGAAAATGGCCGCTGTGGGTTTCAATCTCGATAAGTGTGTGACAGTCCGATGACCTTGAATAAGTCATCTTTACTCATTATTCCAGTCAAACCAGCTGTAAATAGGAATGGATAATTTAGGAAAGATCAATGCCAAGAGGTTTGGCCAAGGACCAGCTGGTAAAAAGGATCCTTAGTTGCGAACCTAAGTTGTTATCTTTGTAAAATATAGTTATTTCTTTCTATTACAAGTTTTCAGTAATTGATTTTTATAAAATATGTTTTAGTATTGTTCGACAATCCAGGCAGCATAATAAAAATAAAACTCAAGTGGAAGAAGAAGAAAAAGAAAGTGAAAAGGAAAAAGAGAAAGAAGAAATTAATGAAGGAAAAGAAGAAATTAAAGAAGAAAATATTGATGAGAATAAAGTAGACAATAAAGAAAGTGAAATAGTAAAAAGTAAAACAGAAGATATGGACATCATGGATAGTACAGGGTGTAAATTTAATGTGAATTCTTTTAAAATGGTTTATGTTGTTAATAGTGAGAGTTATTTATATAAAAGAATGGCATTGAAAAAAGCACGCGAGGTAAGTGTTGTATATCATAAAATAGATTTTATAGATAAAATAGATGACTGCCAGTAACCTCATTAATTTACATATACATATCCCTCTAAAGTGCTCAATGTGATGAAATATTAGGCTTTAAGGTGGAAGAGCATAAATAAATACCAGGTGGTTTTTGATTAAGAATCTGGTAACTTTTCATAATGCTTGGTAGGCTGTATTATGTCCTCTTATGATACTCCTTTTGTATGTAATAATTCTGACTTTATTTTCAGTCCCACAAACGTGTTTCATTGAAGCTTCATGAGAAATTCATGAGAAAAGTTGATAAATGGAGGAGAGAGAATGTTAGCAGTGAATTAGAGACAAATTGTTCACAATGGTTATTAGGGAAAGGAGAAGGATTAAAGGCGTGTAAAACACAGTGTAATAAGATCTATCTACCTGATAAATCCCCATATTATCAATATAATAAATATACTGTAGAATATATAGACAATAATACTTCTACCAACAAACCTGATATAGAAAAATAAACTACTGTCTCTACAAGTCATTTCATACTCTCAACTTTCTTAGTTTGCTATTGACCAAAACATAATATTAAGTTTGATTTACAGAATGAATTAAACTGTAATATAGATATTATTGTGAACAAACTATCATAGTGAATTATTTGGTAATAACACAAATAACCCTTGTTAACAATTGTTTTTATTTGCACAAGTATGACAAGTCTGGTCTGAAATTCATCCTCGACATGTTTGCATTTAGTCATGTAAAACAATAGTAGAAATGTAGTTTATCTCCTAATAGTGAGATATTTAAATTTGAAGTGCTATCTATGTACATTTTACATGTATAAATTTTACATTTTTCAACATCTTATAAAATATTGTAATTTTGCACCTATTCAATATAAAATATACAAATGATTGTTATTTTTTTGGTCATATTATTGTTGCTATTATTATTCTAGCACAATATACTGTAGTTTCAGGTGTTTTTTTTTTTTTTTTGGTTGTATAGTTTGTCGTATCATGTCATATTATTAGTTCACTGTATATATATCCATTATGTATAGAACATCAATAAAATTATTTTCAATTCATGTCCAAAATATAACCCTACATCATTGTGGGATAACTCGACAAGTTAAATGTCCTCGCAACCTGTATAGGTTCCTCAAAAAACAGAACCATCCAAATTTAGCATGTTACAAATAGACATAGCCTATATTAAGAAATCTGTACAAATCTGGACTCACACACACATTTGTGTTACAAAAATAATGAGGCAATTTTATACAATTTCATTTTATTTAGACTAAGTATTCTACACCACCAAAATTACAGCCAAGCTTTAACACTGATTACAATAGCTTTATAACTAAAATAACAAAACAAGCAGAATGATATGAACAGTAAAATTTTGCAGGTTTTAAGTTCACCTTTTCTATAATTCAAACTTGTGTTTTTAGACATTGAGGTTTGCAAGAATCATACCTGCACCACCATACTTACTGACCATAAAGGATTGTAAATAATATATTATTTTCACCGGTAAATATGAACAAATATCACTAACTAGAACATTGATTATTATAGAAGTAGTACAGTGATCTACCAAGTACATAATAATAATATGTTGATTAAACATCATTTTTATTTGACAACTACATATAAGTTTGGGGCTAGTTTCAAAAAAACTCAAGAGGATTTTAGTGTCAAAGCAATCTAAAATTAATTGAAAAATGTGGACATAAAAATCAAACAGATAACTGTATTTCTTATATTTAAATAAAATGTTTTGAAACAGGCCCCTCGAAATAAGATAAACAAATTTAAATTATGACAACTAGGTGATGTAAAGTAATTGATTATTAAAAATGAAATACTATGGCAAGAGACAGAATAACAAACATTAAAATACATTTAGCTTTCTAAATTCATTCTTTAAATGTTGTCATATTGAAAACAGTTGTAATAATTGCAAAAAGGAACAACTGAATCTTGTAATTTAGAATATCACTAATTCAAGACTATTCAAATCTTGTAGGTTCCCATTTCTAAAATACCACCATTTCATTTCTCAAATGTGATAATTATCAATGGAGGGTTCATACATCAAGACAATGTGAGAAAGCTGAAAAGGAACTATTTAAATGAAGACAAAATTGCATGCTTAACCTTACCGGTATCTAAGTAAATTAGTTAACGTTACATTACGTTGACAGGTTTGGACCATATCTTTTTTTAAAATTGAGTGAAAAAAGAAGTAAAAGCTAAAACATGCAATACTAAAGCAGCCATAAGCCCCCGAAACATAGAAATAAAAGGTGATTATATAAGAAAAGCAAGGATATAATATATATATATAAGATAAAGGAAATATATACAAAGGTATAAAGAATACAATTCAAAGTCTTTCATTCTACTCCATACACAAACTGTATAAAAATCTTTCACACAATATAATTACCGTATCTATCATTATCACCGGTATAGCAGTCCATTATAAATCATTAACAATAACTCTTCTAATATATTCTTCAAATTCATTTTCGTTGATTTCTAAACTTAATATTATTATGAAGATAACATAATTCAATGGAGCTGATTGGTTCAAAATGAACGACATCTTCATAACCTGAAGCTCAATTTATTCATAATAATAATAATTATTCTCAAATTGGTAAACTATGTTTGCTTAATGTTTCCTTGCATAAAGGATAAAACATGTAGAAATTTCAAATAAAATTGTTATGACCTGACCAATTTCCAAATTGAAATTTCGGACACATCTTAAAATCAAAATTTGCACATAACCTTTATACATTAAAAATTTTATCGGAGTAACTTGAAACAAAATAACATGAGTTGATTGGAGTCATCATTAATAATAATGGATTTTGTGTGTTATGCCAAAAAGAAAGAAGTTTCCTGTGCCAAGTTATCTTATTTTACTCGACAGTTACCAAATATCTCCATTATAAAATCATCAAAAATAATACTGACATTTTTCACTCTAGTTCTAGTACAATATATTTCATAATCTATCAATTTTATTTCTAAAATAAACATGAATTTGGACAAGGAGGCTGTCAATATTCTCTAATATGGTACAAGACAAAAAGGAAAATGAATTAAAACTAATTGATATTAAAAATCTATTCACTACAATTAATTTAAGTAAACATTACAACATATATAGCACTGTAGATAAGTAATGCAAACATATGAAAAGCATAATAATTCTTCCTTCTTTTTAAAAGAGTTCTTATATATCATATATCCATAACAATAAAAATTCACTCATGTTCTTTGTTGAATTTCATAATAAATAAAGTTCGTTTAGAAAACGACTTTGCCAATTTCCTTCCACAAATCATTTAGTTTCATCATTCTTGCTCCAATTATCAAGTTATATGTACATCCTTTAAGTTGTAGTATCTCCAATATTCCATCTTTACAAAAAATAAAATCTCTTTAGGCAAGCACAGACTACCAATTGCAACATCTTCAATTATAAAATATGTTTAAAATTAGACAATAGTTCACAATTAGTTGAAATAAACTCATGTAGTTTATCAAAAGTCAGTGAAAGTTGACCTTGTTTCAAACAGTATAAAAATGAGGTCACAATGTTTTTTGTTGTAGTTGATGTTCAGTAGTGTTGTATTAAGACATACTGGAACATGGTAAACCAGGAGAACCCATCTGAGTTAAAACACGATCTAACCATTGCAATGGACCGTTTAAATGTATTTCTATCCAACTTGGTGTACTAGTTACTGTCTGTCGTCTGAAATGTATAACAAAATTTCTATAACTTTTAGTCTACAGTGCCAATAAAGATCATTTCTATTAGGTTTTTCCCTGTCCAAATTTGCATTGTTGATAAAGCATCGAATTTAGCTGCTGAAATAATGCCCAGCACTCTGTTACAAATCTCTAACATGTAATTTGGTAAAAAAATTAAATAAGTACTGACCTATATTCAGCTCCCCAACCCTTAACAAAACTCATTCTAATAGTACACATTCTGGTAAGTTGATAAACTGATTCAAAACCCTGATTAACTGACTGGGCTAATAGTGCAGCAAATTCCTGATTATTAAATATCTTTAAATTACAACCTATAATAAAAAATAATCATTATCACAATAACTATTTAAATATCACTTAAAAAATCATATCATAATTTACATATCATCAACATCAGACAGACACTGCAAAATAAAGTGGACAGCCTTCTGAACTACATTGATCTACAGGCAGACGCTGACCAATGAACCATCTTCTTTATAGAACTTGTCAAGCATACAATGGAACTCAAAGTGGACAATCTTCTGTACTTAACTACACAAAGTAAGCTTATTCAGTTTACTTAATACTGTCCAAGAGCAGTGATTAGAAAAATCTCAACTCCAGAAACAGCAAGTTACCTGGTGGTATTTTACAAACTGTAGCCGGATGCCAACCATATCTTTGATTACAATTAGGACTCTGTACAAATACAGCATTTTCACTTAAACATTCAGCAAATACTTCACCACCAATATAATACAATCTAACACCTTTACCTATAGAAAAAAATTTATCCAATTAAATACAATATAATTATACAGTCATACTTACCTTTTTTACATTTATTTTATTTATTAAAAAACGTGACACCAATTGTTTTTGATGTAGATTTTCATTAAAATGGAAATAGTAAAAAATGGTAATTAAAAAATTGAGAAGAAATTAACATAAATTTGTTACATCATTTTATTTTGTTATCTAATACAAAAATTGTCAGCAATAGCATATTAATCATTAAATACACCCCAATTAAATAAGAAATGAAATGAAATGATTGGAGTTTTATGTCCTACTTTTCTGCACTCCTTATTAAATAAGACTCTTATTATAAGAGTACTTTATTTTATCCAAGGCTTAAGATATAGGCTTTTTAAATATTTTTGAAACAAACCTTTGCACATTACTGCATATTTTTAATCCATTTTTTAGTTATTAATAATTAGGCAAAGTTATGCCTTAAAAGTGTTCTCTACCATGAATAAATTTTTGACAAAAGTATGAACAATGTTAATTTCAATAAGTTAAAGTTGAACTAAAATCTAAAACACAATATAGTAGGTTTTAATCAATGGGATTTAAGATAGAAAAACAAAAGTTTGTAGAAGAAATAATAAACTTACCAATATAACGTCTGGTCATTTCAACTTGTTGAGTTCGATTAACATTAGACAGCAGTCCTAAACAAAATCTCTCTGAGTTGGAAGGGTCAGTGAAACCATCAACTGTTAGTGAGGGTTGTGAAGCATGAAAAGTTTCTCCAACTCTAGTATTTAACTCATAATAGGCAATAGAACACCAGAAATCTGGTTCTTTATATGTAACTGGTTGTAAATCATTATCAGCTAAAATAAAATAATACAACATATTCCCAAATTTTTGCAATTGTTAATTCCTCAAAAACAAAATTAAACTAGAGCCTAAATACAGAGTGGGCAAATTGCAAGAGACTGAAGAAATCAACCTTCTATGTTAATTAGGTCATGTGCCAGAACAGTCTAAAGTTACGACATTTTCTGTCTTTGGAACATTGTGAAACCGGAAGTAGACATTGAATCATCAGAAACAATAGTATCAGCGCATAGCCAAAGTTAATGGCCGTTGACCTTTTAAAGGGGAAGGTCAGCAAAGGCCAATATAATTTATATAACAAATTTTCAAAATGCATACGGTTACAAAACCGAAAGCTTACGTCAGACATCAAATATGAAAGTATAAAAAGGTAACCAAGGTCAGTGGCCTTTGATCCTACAAAAGTTCAGGTCAACAAAGGTAAATGTCAAAAATTGAAAATATGGAAATTCTAAAACCCATTCCTTTTTTTGAACTATAAAGCTGCAACAACTGAGCTTTTTACACAAACTGGCCAAATGGATGAAGTAATTGGGTACAAAGTCCCTTTTCGAACAAATGTATCCTATGCCCCTGCCCGAAATGGAAAATATCAGCTGAATATAAAGAGGGCTACGGACTAGGGGTATAAGGGGAGATTTAACCATTTTAAGATGCTTTGGAAGTCATTTCCCAATACAGAAATATTTTCATTCCTAAAACTCGATTTTAAAAGGTTTTATTTGCAAATAAAAAAAATACCAACGGACAGAAAAATAGAGGAATTTCTCTAAAAAGAGGAAATCTGGGATCCCTGATATACATACAGTTGAGTAACCTAATTTCGTGGAAACCTATTATTCATGGATTTCCGGAAAGGATTAATAATTTACATGAGCGACCTTGCTCGACCTCCGCATTAGTTTGTTTTGATAAACATGGGTTTTCTCTACAATATCAGCTAGTAGAATGAATCCAGTAGTTTCAAGCAAGGTAAAATGTATTAATGTATACTTTGACAAATACAAAATGGCGGATTTCAGTTATTACCAAACGTCACCATTTTTTATCGGTCGAATTTCCTTATAATCCCAAGCGGTAATCGGAATTCCAAGTGTCGTCTGCTAGAATGTAGTCCAACAAATGAAGTCACGTGATCAACTAGCGGATTCCGTGTCAGCAGAAAATTTCTACGGAACACAAAGTGGACCATATTCTTATGTTGTTTCAGTGACTTTTAGCATTAAATCAAGCTACGTATCTTATTTTGTCAGTCACTATTTTTTTTTTAAATCGCGGTTCTTTGAAGGAATTGTCACTATTTATAATGAATTGATATTAAAGATAAATACTAAGAGAAGTTAATTATTCCACCCGGTATCCATACAACGTGTTTTTCTCGACTTATTTATAGATCAAACATTGAACACGAAAATAGGTTACGCATTCTGCCACCGTTGCCGAGTTGGTTGCTCATGAAATATTGGTTAAAGTGAAGGATTAATAAAGAAAATCGAAATAAACCAATTTTAACTATTTTGTAGAATATCTGAGGACACTTCTAAGACATAAATTTTTTTTTTTTTTTTTTTTTTAACTTTGACGAAATTCGGTGTTGTATCCTTATATCCACGAAAATAGGTTAAACCACTGTATACCAAGCCCAAAGAGCCAAAAATATTGTAAAAAAAACACTCAAATTTAAAAAATATCTCTTATTTCAATTTTGTTTTAAAAACAATTGTTACTAATCACTGGAAAAAGCATGAAGAGCACATTAAGAATTCGAAAAGGAAGACATTGCCTATATAGAAGGTCTAGGAAATTGGAATAGTTGCTGCAACTACTGCAGTCTAAGCACAGGATGGTATGTAAGTTTCGTAAAATAGAAAAAAAAAAGAATTGACATTTCAATAACAAATTGGAATTACAGATGGAACTTTGGTCGTCTAGAAACAACTCAAAGTCTGTTGAACATTTTGTCTTTTTAGAATATTGGAATTTTTTTTTAGAAATTTAGTTCTATACAAATTCAAGCACAAGTGTTTTTATAATTGTATAGTCTTATTAATTTTTTTAAACAGACTACTTTTGCTATCACATATTTCTATCATATATTTATATCAAAAGAAAGAAATCAATATTTTAACAGCTCATGCAAGCAAAATGATACAAAACTGTGAAATTCAATATATATTAGTACATTGCTCATAACCTCATAACCATTTTTCTTTGTCACTTAATAAGACTTTCAGAAATTCCATTATATAAATAATTTTTACAATTCAACATCATCATTATATAAGTATGTTTTATAGGAAATATGGAGCATAAATCTGTTCTATTCATCATTGTTTGAACTTTGGAATAAAAAACATTGAAAATTCCAGTCCATAATTGGTGCTTAAGGTACCTCAGATGCTCAAGGTAATGTCAGGGTAAACTCAAGGTTTGGAATCATTATTTACACACTTACAAATTCAAAATTTTTTTTTTATAAAATTTTGAAAACAGACAACACAATTTGATTAAATACTACTGAAGGTTTCACTGTTTTCAAAAACCTTTGTAAAAAAACAGCAAGTATTGTTCAATAAGAAATTTTCAAAAATGAAATTAACTTACAGATAGAAGGGCTTGGTGATACATCAATTCCATCTGAAAAATATAAATATAAATTCTTGAAGCCTTACCAAATATCAACAAATAATAATGTCTACTTCAGTGTGAATCCAAAGTTTTTTTTAACAGATAAGCTAGGTTATCATGAACACTATTGCATACATGTAACTGAAATGCAACAATAAATTTCTAGTGCTGCCTTTTTTATTTTTGTTTATGAAGTTTAAAGAAAAATAATAAAAACAAGTTTAAAGAAAACTAATAAAACAAGTTACTTAAAAACAACGGCTTCAAAAATTGTTCTCAAGATCTGACACTACCAAACACTAACATGGAAAAAAAACATTTTCTATGTATTAGAGAATTGCAGTAAAACTTACAATTATTGACAGAATTAATATTATAATCCATCTTGATACAACCAATAAACTTTAGAATCCAAGACTGTTAGTATTGAACAGTTACGAACACTACTAGTCTCAAGACAATACTAAAACTACATCTGTCATTGACATACTTTATCTATATACAATCATCAAATCATTCACTACTAACATCTTGGTCAATGGAAACTTAACGCAGCACAATAACCTGACGTGCTTCGTAGAAAAACAGTGATATATTGATAGTCTGTAGAAGTAATGACCAAACATAGACTATCATCCCTGGAGAAATTGGAACCAACATCAAAGTGACATTGTCACCTGAGAAGAAATCCAAAAGAATCATGAATAACAAGAAAATCAAATTAATAACGTGAAAATAATATTTAAGTAAAATATATCAAATAATTTATTATATTCAAAGCTATTGTCGTTGTTAGTAAATAATTAAACACTGTAAGTCTTCCATGTCATATTTATTAATAAATTTAATTTTTAATTAAATGAAGCCAGACAATATTGTCTGATATTCAATCATAATGAGACAGTATCATACAAGATTTCATAACTTAGAAACATGAATATCAGTAAAACTAACTATTCACAATATCAGAAAGCAATCAATTATTGAACACAATAATTTCAAAATTTAGATCATTTCCTTTTAAAATCTTCAAGATTATAATGTTCTTTAAATAAATATTTATTTTGTGATCTATGTCTGTGCTTTCCAAAGACTATGCCAGTGCTTTTATGAGGCCTATATTCTCATCACCTTGTGAAATTTACATTATATAGAATAAAAGAAATAATTATAAAGTCATTTCAGAACTGAAACTACATAAATATATACGCAAATAATGCTGAATTCAACCTAAAAAAACAAGTTTAAAAACATAAAAAAGATAGCCAATAAATATATGACTTATTCTAATTGTGGATTAAACATTTAAGCATTATACTAGCTAGAGTTTTGCCTTTCCAACAAATGACAGATTTTCATTGATATGCTTGAATTAAACCAAATTCTCCATGCAAATATGAAACAACAGAGGAGAATGTAGGGGTAAAATAAATAAACAATAATAAAAGATATGTACACATCATATTATCATGTTTATAAGTTAATCAAATAATTTGTAGTGTAGGCAATATGATAACTGTACAAGAAGGAAGCAGATTTTGATATGATTGACCATAGAGAATAATATTGACAGTTAAACATCAATGACAATATTTTCATGTTATTTTGAGTGACATTAGGAAGTCCCGCTTGACTAAAAAATTACTCTTAAAATATAATGTGTGACAGTAGATAATTAGTAGTTGTACTAGTACTCCCTTGATACCTACTATTTCATCCAATTGATTTATAAAGATAGTACTTAACTCTTACTTAGACATTATCATTGATATATCATCTTTTTTATTCTCTTCAATATCTCTACCAACATTCACTTTATTTAAATAATCCTTTTGCGACATTTAGGGTTACAAAAAGGAATGAAAATCCACTTTTAACAAAATGTGTAGAATTGATCCTTGAAAATCATGACACAAATACTTTGAAGCGATAGCTATTAGATATAAAACTCTGACATTGTGCCAATTATAGTTGTTTGAGTTCCAAGTAAATTGAGACAAGAAAAAAAAGGCCTTACTAAACAAAGGTTGAAATTATTTTGTGATTTGACTAGTTCCATGAAAGCATTATAATAATAGGTGAACCTTTAGTAGTCACATGAAAATGCATTGTAACGCTTACATACAAAATAAGTGGCATATTACTATACTACACATCAATGGTGCCTCACTGCCATAGTAGTTTGTACAGGAAAACCATACTGGTAACATGTAATATATTTTTATAAAATGTCACAATGTTGACAAAGCTTAGGTAGTTATAGATGTAGCTATAATTGATATAGCCCTCATCTCTAAAAATATGAGTTCACTCCATGGAACAATGAAATAAATCTGATGATCCAAGTGGTTGACTCCATTTGCCATCCATGATCTAAAGGAATCTATCATGCAGAACAAGTTGAATATTAAAAAAAATCAAATGCTCTGATCAATAATTGCTTTGTCTACCACATGTCACGAGTTCTAGAATGTAAATGTAAATTGTTGACATAATTAAAACAATAAAACCTAGTAGTAATAGATATAAAAATTTGTTCTGTTATTCAATAGATATTATTAAAGAGACAGATGCACCGTTTTTCAGATCAATCATACTTCAGTCTCAGAAACGGGAATTTTTTAGCTAAGCCAATCAGTAATAGTGTTCACAACTCACTGGCGAAATTTGACCCTTCAAATCCATGTATGTCCAGAATTATCCGCGTTTAAATGTTAAAATGACAACTCGTCAATCTAAGATACTCTGAGATATATAGAAAGGCATATATAGAAATAGTGAGTAAAATTCCTGGTTTGAAGAATTTTTAAAGGAATTTTGCGATTCATTAAATTAAATGAAAAAACAGGTTGGCACAATCATAATATTGAGCTTTTCCCACAACAGTGATTCTACCTCGCTTTTCTACATCTCCACATTATATAATATTTCTTCATCAATGACTTTTTTTTACTCTGAACTGATGAAATACTTGTATTTGTCATATTTATTCTGTGACATTGAGTAGAAATTTTCAAGGTCAAGCCCAAACCAACCGATAATTTTTAAACTTGGGCTTGCTGTCTTTCTTACGGATATGGATATTTATTATTTTGTCACAAACAGGAGTGTTGTATTTTGATCATTAAATGACGTAGGCCATATCCATGCTGCTCTACTCTATCTATCTCAATCTGAAATGTCGTCTGCTATCCACTTCAGTATAATATCCCTTATTCAGCACAATTATGAACTATGATACTATTTATGGTAACAATCATTTCCCGCCAGAAATTTAATCAAAGGTGTGACAAATTAACAAGATCTCACTGTTTTAGACACCAAATTTTATAATGAGTTGAGTTTCATTTATTCGAAAATATTATGTATCCCAAAAAACTACTCTACTGACGAAAAATTACATTGCATCTTGCAGTAAATTGGATCTCAAACTGTGATGCGATATTATAGATATGAGGTCTAGTAATTACTACATAAAATACAAACAGAATGGTATATTTTGATGGGCAATATAATTTGGTTGTGATATATTTGTAGTATACAAATCCTTCACTATGAAAAATATAATTTTTAAACTATTTTCAAACATTTTGAAAATTTCTTTATCTAGGAATTTTTTTCTCGGGTCTATTACTATACATATAAATATTTAATTTAAAGTAAGAATGGACATGTTGTTATACTGTTAATAAATGTCAAACAACCATAACTGCTGCATTTAAGAGACTACAAATCTGTCCATTTTAACGATAGATTTTCTTTGAAAGGGAGACTATAGGCAACTGATCCATTTTGTTACTTGAAATTAGTTAATCCTGTGACAGATAGTATTCTCGAGACAAACAAATCAGTGATTTGTAATAAAACAAGTAGTTTGTAAGTGTTGTTACTACTGACCAAATACCAAGTTACAATGAAGTAGTGAAAGTCAAGTGATATACAATAAAACATGTTCTAATTAAAAAGTATTTTTAGGTATTTAATTTAATACTAGTAATCTAATACACAGAATTCATTTCTTAGATCAAATACAGAAAATAGTCAATAGATACTAAATCTACTATTACTGTCATTACCTTAACATTATCTTGCCATAGATAGATAAGGTTTAATTATTTGATGAATAGATGAATGTATCTGTATTCAATTACACTATATATATACAACCTTTTCTGTGGGTGTTTGCTGAAACAAACTAGTATATCATGAATTTTTTGACATAAGCTTAAAGCGATTGTAATGAGAATTTATAAAAATGTATGTGTATCGGAGACAAGAAATGCATCATTCAAATTTTCTATCAGATGTCTGTGGTTCCTAAAATTCCACTTTAATATTTTTATTTTTTAAGTAAGAGTCAGAATATCTAAGAATGGGTTTATAAAAATGATATAGCTTCAGAACATTATATTTACAGTTTTTAAGAAATATGCAGCAATTTTCAAACTTGATGATAATTCTAGATTGGTTATTTTACCAGACTTATATAAAGAGAAGAGACAAATCAGACAATATTTACTCACATTTATCATTTCTGATGTTCAAAAATGGAAAAAAAAGTAAAATCTTTAGTAGTCATGGTTATTGTGGATTATCTTTTTTTCTGATGTTCTGTCTCTATTGATTAAGTTAAGACAGGCATTGTGTGATTAGTTTACTGAGTAGTTAGTCGACTGAACCTATTACTACCTATTGCTATAAATAAAAATTCAAAATTGCTATGGGCCATTAAAATAGTAAGATAATTATTGATGTTATGATGTCTTCTTATTTTTTTTTAGTTTAATCAACAGACATGACCTTTCAAAATAAATATGTTGTTGTTTCTAACAATTTTTTCATCAAGTTGTTTTTACTTTAAGTTTTTGTAAATGTTTAATTTTTTAAGAGATTAAATATTTGAAATGATTGGAATATTATAAGTTTAAAGGGATTTAAATGAAGTTTTTTAACCATTAATGTGTCTTATAGTCTCTAATGCCACTAGTGTAAATGCCTGAGGTCTGTAATTCAACAAATATTGACCATATAACAACATCACTATAGCACTATATAATGACACAGAAACACACAAGAAATAACTGGAAAACCTGTTATGAATCCCTTTAAATAAATCCCTACAGAGCTACGTATACCATCTATTTGCAAGAATTAATATTTCCATTAAAAAGTAGATTAGAAGATTAGATTCTACTATAATATATAAATATTTCTATTGTTATAACTAATGGCCCTATTTAATAGATGACACTTACTTTTGACATAGTTAAAATACTTTGACAGACGATTTCTTGATCATAACTTTTCATAATAAAATTTGTCAAAATCAAAACCAAGCTGTTTGCTGAAATCAAGGCTTGAAACAACTCCAGAAATTGGGTCGGACATTTTGTCCAGCACAATTCAATTTGTGTCGGACATTTGAAATTTTGTACCAGACATAATAAAAATATGGTATTTTCAATTGAAAAATAGCATTTAAAACCAATAAATTTTTTAGGGCTGAAATTCGCCGTTTTCTCAACTGCAAGTGCAAAACAGGTTAACAACTAACTAAGAATAGTTTATATCATTCATATAGGCCATAGGGATTATTTATATTCCCAGTGACTCTCAGGGAACGATAAAGCCGAAGCAATAGGCAATTAAAATAAATCATATCTTATATAAAAGTTCTAAGACATAAAAAAAGAGCCATCGGAAGTAATAATTTATCTGATTGGACAAGAAAAGATATCTATTTATATCAGCCAATGAATTTCTTACTTTCATTGTTTTTCTACTTTCGGTTTTAAGAAAACTCGCGCTAATCAACACATCTGGCTGTGATTATTTAACATGGTGCCTGACAATTTCCTCCAGCTCAGTGTATATCTTTGTATCAAATTCTTATGTAATATTTGAAATAAAAGTATCAAATCGTGATTAGACATCATGATTATAAAATATAGTACCAGGTATCATATGAAAGATCATCTCATGTTTATATAAAGTAATTATAGAATTAAAATTACTAAAGGATTCGGACAAACAACTTGACTTAACTGCTTGTGTCCACACCGTTGTCTTCTCTAGGTGCTAATCATATGGATGCCTGGCAAGCTATCTTTCAATAACACACAGCTTAGATTTCTGTTAATAATGTCAATGGCCAGAATCGCTGATAATTCACTGCCTTTTCAACAAGAAAAAAAAATTTTTTCATAGAGATTGTACCGGACATTTGCCAAAGTAGTACCAGACAATGTCCATGTCTGGACGCTTATTTCAGGCCTTGGCTGAAATACAACTCAAGTTAACAGCAGCTTTAGTTAATCAAGGTGGTAGGTATACACTAATAGTATTTATAAGGTTATATTTATAAGGATAAAAATCATGAATATCAAACGATTATTTAAAAATCTTTTTTTTCTTTCTTGGATAACTCTGAAAAATTTCTCATAAAATCGTCAACACTATCTTAAGTTGAGATTTCACCATTTTTATATTAGGGGAGGGGCCAGATATATTTCACTTTGGCAACTGTATATAATGGTCATCTTGCAAGTTCTACAACACAAGCAACACAAACTGTTTTGTGAATTTTTACAGCTGTTTACAGGATCTAGATCTAGATTTCTATACTATGTTGGATGATGGTGTGAAATTATTAGACCATTCCTCTTACTGCCATATTGTCTTACTATGAAAAGAAAAAGGGTGTAGATCTTTAAATTTGAATGTATAAAATCAATACATGTAAAGTGTAAAATGGTGGTATATTTAATTTTATTAATATTATAATAATACAATACAAGAACTATATTATACTATATTAAATGCTACTACAGACATTTATTAGTCTAAATGATAGCCTACAGAAATAATTAGGCCTTCCATCTAACACACCATCAACTGGGTAAACTCAATTATACCAATACAAAAAAACACAGTCTACATAGTATCACATCAGTGATTTTGGATTTTTCATTTAAAAAGTGGAGGCAATATCCATATCTGGTACCATTCCTACACAATCTACAAAATCTGAAGACTGGATGACCATTCCAGTTATTCATAGTAACAAAATATTGGTCATTTATCAAGTAATTACAGAATGAATTACTAATAGAGGGTTAAGTTTAGATTAAAAGTGAAATGAAGTAAATGAACAATTGATACGGATTCCATTTTCTATTAATGACAAGAATCAATGAGGCTTCTCAATCCAACATCAACACCCGATTTCATTAGCTTGTTTCCTGCCTCAGATGACCAGTGGTCAGATAATAGAAGACTTAAGATGATGTAGAAAGCTAATGATATATTGATAGGAAATAAAGTAGGACACAAGATTGACCACGATGTTTAAGTATTTGTCACAATAACTGGGTTAGTAAGATTATGACATGTCCAGTATTGTCAGATAATCACTGAACTTTCTATTAATCTCTTGTAGTTCTGATTCCACCTCCAATATAATAAGACAAATAACAGTGACTAATTGGAATATCTGGTCTGTTTGCACCATTCACATCAGCTGTTCTCTTTATTAGTTCAGTTGAATCAGTTCATGGAATTCCATCTATAGTATATTATTTATTACCTGACTTGATCAAACCAATTTTGTTCAAAGGGTTAATTAAAACTTAGAATACTAATTGTTAATTAAGCAGTTTGGACCTAGTTTCGGTGCTTGGCTTTATAATGGCTGAGACATATTTCTCTACAATTAAGCATTTATTTTACTCAAATCTGCACAGTAGTTTTCTAGCAGCTTGCAAAAAGCATAACGAATAATAAAAGGTTGCATAACTTTGTACTTAAGTTTTGGCGTTAAAAAATTAACTGCTGGATTTTTTTAGTTAAAACTTTCATATACTTTATGGGATACCTTTCTATAGATTTTGGTTCATAGTTTTCACAAATTTGAGCAAAAACGTTGCCGCGTTATTTTCACAAAACACAGTAAATATATCCCAAGATAATTTACTGAAAATCAAAATCTAGACAGGCCATGATCCAAAAAGGTATCTATCTAGACAGATAGGTCAATCAAATTTTGTGGTGTTGTATCAATCAAACATAGTGGTGTTACATCATATCATAATTAAATGGTGAGAGAATAAATTATTGCATTAATCAAACTTGTGTAAACTTGTTGGATCTATCAACAAACATAGTGGAGATGGTCAATCAAATTTAGTGGTGAGAGTTTAAACCTCTTGTATCAATCAAATTTAGTGGTGAGAGTATAAACCTCTTGTATCAATCAAACATTGTGGTGCTACATCAAATCATATTTAAGTGGTGAGAGAATAAATTGTTGCATTAATCAAATTTACTGGATAGAGTGTAAACTTATTGGATCAATCAACAAACATAGTGGAGATGGTCAATCAAATATAGTGGTGAGAGTTTAAACCTGTTGTACAATCAAACATAGTGGTGTTACATCAAAATTGCATTTAATGGCGACAGAATAAACTCACCCATTCCTTGCGTATCAGAAGTGTCTCCTTCTTCGCTCATGTAGCCTGGAGGTGGGCTATCTGTAATACATAATAAAATATTATCATCTAACTTAAAAAATATTAAAACAATCTACATTGAAAAAAGATTGTTCAAGCTACTTAATTTATTCACCAGGTCAAGTTCAATATTCATCTGCAGATAGAAATATAACACTTTGGCACAATTCATACACATTGAATACAATACAAAATCATAATAAATTTAATTCTATCAAGGTAACAGATGAACAACTATATCTCAATATTGAAAACTCTTAAATGTTGTGAAATGACACAATGTTAGCATTAATATGTAGTATGCAAATAAATATATAAAAAAGAGTAGACAAAAAAAAATTATGAAGAAAATAGACCATGAAGACAACCAGGAGATGCCTCCAGTACAACTATAATTATACAACAAATATTACCTGGTATGCTGAAGTTTTCATTGATGCCGACTTTACAGTCAATATTTTCTGGTATTGTTGTTGAATAATCATCAAGTTGAGGAATTTTATCAGGTATTTCTGTATGACGTGGTACTAATACAACTACAATATATAACAATACATCATACAATTATCTGTATACTTATCAATATACAATACTAACAGATCATTATAGAGGGATTGCTTAAAATTCCAAGCAAGCAAGTTACCAATAATATTGAGTTAAATTTGTTTCATGTGAAAATCATTAAATTTGTTCATTTGCTTGTATCTCAAGCATTTGAATCAAACAAATAAATATATATAAATCCAAATTGAAAAAAACAAAGAACTCAATAACTCTTAATAGTGTAGACACCCAAAAGAAAAAAAAGAAACAAAATTTATAGACATGTATTTTTTAGAATTAAATTGAGAATGAATTCTCTTGATTTATTTGTAGAAGACTATAAAAAAATTATGTTTCAATAAAACAAAACCATCCTCAGAGATTTAGAAGAGAAAATAGAAATACTAGTTGATTTATCTCCCATGTCTTAAAATTTCTCATATTTTCCCTCTTGATAAAACCTTTTTAAGAAATTGGAATATTGTATACATTATATTTTTTCCTGTTAACACTTCTATATTAATGGATTAAGATTTGTATGGTAAGTACTTTCAGTAGTAACATAAGGTTTCATAAGGTTTAATACTCTAGGATGGGATCTCTGAATTTTAATGTAAATGTCCTACTATTATTGTCAACATTCATCTTTTTTTGTGATAATTAACACTGAAAGATAGTGATATAACAAAAGGCAGAAATAATTTTGCCCATAATCATGTTTTTGCAACGATTGATCTGGCTAACAATTATTTAAACTTATTTTTTAGTTCAATGTAACTGGCATAAAAGTATTGACCAGACCTACCTGGTGGTACAACTCTGATATAGTGATAAGGATTCACACAAACTTCATCCCGTTTTAAATGAAAGGCATAGTCACATTTATCTACAGCTCGTAGTTCTTGATGACTCTGTAAATCTGGCCATCTCCATAAACGACAATAAATTACATGGGGTAAACCTTTACGATGAGAAACTTGTAAACGACCATCCAAAGATCTGAAAAACATCACAAATATTTCATATTTAGACACAAAAATTGACACATTTTAGTTACTTGTTAGTTATTATTTGATGGGTCTGGAATTATGAATTTTTTATGTAAATTTTGGTTAGACTGGATATAAGAGTCTTAATATAAGGATATCTTGAATAAAAAAAAAAGTCCAGTCTATAATTACTTTAGGTCCCATGATATAGAGCACCTTAATATGGATTATAATAAAATGACTAGATAAGACATAAAATGACTTTTTAAGAAGATAATGCCACAGAGATAAAAAAAAAAATCTAAAAAAATGAATATCATAATCTCAATCATTAATATAATTCCTCATATCGCTTCTATTAATGATATATGGGTTTTTTATTCACTTGAGTTCTGCTTAGCTGATTGCTTCTAACCTTCCACCTTCATTTTTATTTCAACTGCTTTCGGCAGTCAGCAAAAACCATTAATTTCAGAATAATTAATTGTGATAGAAGTCTGAAAATCATGATTAATACCTTCTGTCTTGTGTATTACAGTAAAGTGAGAATTGTATTGTTCAAATATCATATAACTCAATAGGTAGGTTAGTGTCTTAAATAATGAGTTTTAAAAGCAGTAGGCTTATTCAACTTGTATAACTTTTTCCTACTTTCTTGATAAATAGATGTAAGAGAATTCAAACGAATATAGGTTTGTATTTTCAAACTGAATTTAAATCACAGCTCTTTGTTGAAAATAAAAATAATGCATACCAATTTTAATTTATAGATCTTATTTACTATTTAATGTCTCAAATGGTCACAATGATTTGAGAGTACCTTTTTACTAGAGTAACAGTCTACCAATTATTACAAGATAGTAGTAATTGAAAAACTAAATACTTGGTTGACAAAATGTCAACTTGTTGACCTCTATTCTAATTAAATAGAAATTCAATTTAGTACTGAAGTGAAACCCTAAAACCACATTTTTTTCTTCAATAACATTGTTAGGGAAAGTTTGATTAAGAAATCAGATCTTCAGCTTAAGAATTCAAATTTGTCCACAAATTATACTATCTCTTGACATTCTTAAAACATACCTTAATAATTCTCATCCTTACAATAATCAATTAGTGTATACATGCTTACATCAAGTTCAGAATGTTTGATATCCAAATCAAATCATAGAGTCAGTAGAGGGACAGGTGCTCCATATTAGGGGGGTTGATTTTAGTCTCGGATATATGTAAATAGTCTTCAGAACTAGACATGTACGAAAATAGCATAATTCCTTCAAAAATAACTCAAACTAGAAATTTATTTTCCTAATTCTATAGACGTCTTTACTTCATATGGCAATGTCTATTAAAAAGACAACTAGTCTAATTTACAAACGCAGATAATACTGGACACACACATGAATTTGAAGATAGTTAGCTGTGAACATTATTATTGATTGGCTAAAAAAATCCTGTTTCTGAGACTAAAGTGTGATTGTCCACAAAGTGGTGCATCTGTCCTATTAAAGTTCATCCAAAAAGAGGTATGAATGTTTGCTATAGCTTAATGGTCCTTCCCATTACTTTTAAAAATGGGAGTCTCATGCCTTTCTATGTCTATTCATGCTATGTGTTATGGGTGTTTAACTGAAATTAAAGCTTACAATGTTTTCAAGACATTTAGAAGATTTGTGATAACTGAAATAAAATTTTGTATCTGACGCCTTTATCTAAATGCATGTAAATGTCAATATTTCAATGACAAATCATCTGACAAGAGTTTAAAAAACACATATAGTTCTGACAGTGTTTAAAGATTCATTAATGATGTATATGTTTTGAAGTTGACAAATAAAAATGACAGCATTTTTAAGAGAAATAGTATCATATTACTTGACATAATTTTTTAAATCAAGATAGAAATGACAGTGTCAGAAAGTTGTGTTTTCATTGACAGTCCTTAACACCATCAATGGTATCAATTTGTCTAAATATTTCCTTTCCCAGCTAATTTATCTTCAATTCAGCTATCTAAATAAAAGATCTAACTCTGAAATAAGATAGTATAAATAACATGGAAATCAATTCAGAAAAATCAAGATACGATTAAATTAGAAACAATAATAATACATTTGGTTAAAAACAGAATATTTGTCAATAGTCAATTGACCACATCTATATTATTTTTCTACCTAAATAGAATGTTTTTTCTGCTAGAAAAGACTCAGACATATTAGATTGAAGCCTGCTGGATTTAAACTGATGGCAACTCACTATTGATTTGTCAAACCGAGACAATTCCACTTTTTTCACTCTTTAATATCAGACATTATAACCTAGTTACTTTCATCCTATTATAGTACATTTACACATTCAAATATAAATAAATAAATAAATAAATAAGCAAATATTAAATGAGCGAGTTGATTGTATCCTTAATTGCATTTATTAGTAATCTATTTATATTGTAATTTTTCTTTCTCATTTCATCATAACAAATTGATTTTTCTATCTATTTTAAAATTGTGGTATTTAACTTTTGTTTTTTAACATCTATACTCTGGATCACATAATACCAGGAAATAAAAATGTAAATTCTAAGTCATGTATTAAACTCTTCCCTACTACCTTTACAACATACTAACATTATAAATATTTTTTGATCCAAAATAAAAATAATTTAGTAGGTCAATACCAAAAAAACATATAAAAAAAATGTAAGAAAACATATATTAAATTTGAAACTTTATTTCTTTGGAAAGCTTTATGTAATATTTTAGCATATATATATATATACTAATATATAATATCACATCAGCAAAATTTAAATCATACAGTGCTTTCAGTTCACCAGTTGTTTTAAGGACATTTGCATCATAACTGTCATACACATAAATTATAGGCTTAACATTCATCTTTAACATTTATCTTGCCACAAAAATGTCAGATACCTTAAAAGAGTACAATCTTTAATACATGTTCTTAGTTCTTTTCATAAAATAGAATAATTTACCAGAAAATTCAGACATGCTGAAAATGAGACTTGTCTTGTCTTGAAGTTGAAGGTTGTTTGTTAATGACATCATTTATATAAATAATACACATACTTTCTCTGTCTAGACACTCTAACAAAATAACATGGTATTTGTAGGTGAAATTCACCAGGAAAATATTCTATTGGGCATTTATTCATCTATCACTAAATGTCTTGCATATCAGACAACATAAGAATAATAATTGAATTCAATATGGCTGATCATAGTGTAAAGCTAGAAGTGATCTAATACACACAAAAAAATGATTTTCTCCATCTAAACCATAAAAATACAAGGATTAAGATTAAGTGCTAATCAACATTCAATCTGGATTTTTAATTTTTTTTTTGTATGATACCATATGAGTCAGCAATTTAAGTTTCTATTGTGTTCACAAATAAATTTAGGACAATAACTAAAACCGTTCATCGAAAGATTGTCAAATTCAAACTTGAACAGGATCTCACCAATAAGAATGATCACACCAAATTCCATTAAAATCAGATGAAAACTGAAGTCTCTATTGTGTGCACAAACAAATTTTGAAGCGTTTTTCCTAAGTCAAGGGCAATAACTCAAAAACCATTCATCGAAAAATCGTCAAATTGGAACTTGACCAAGATCTCATGAATATATATTATCTCAGCAAGTTTCATTAAAATCAGATAAAAACTGTAGTGTCTATTGTGTTCACAAGAAATGTTGATGGACCGAAGCGACGGCAATATACGTCCACATTTCCATGTGGGCGTATAAAAACAGAGTAGTAGTAAACAGGATACTATGAGACATTTGAACTATTACATCTCATCACAATACTTATTGTATTATATCTCCTATATCATAATATATAATCATTTAACCCAGCACTATATTGGCATGAAATATTAAATTGAAGTCAATGAAAACTGAAGTGTAAATGGAAGACCTCTCTATGCTCAGTCAGTTAGACCAGTCAAATGAAATTAAAACTATCAGAGTCATGTGTGTCTCAGAGCCTGACTTTACTTTCACTTTACTAAGTGGAAACACAAATAGCCAGTTTTACTTCACAATTCTCAGTGGAAACACAGTTATTATTGCTACAATTATTCCTAAACCTTTATATTCCTAATACTTGAACATATATCAAGTTTTGTAAAAATCATTAGAAGTAGGCATATGTAAATCATAAATATATGATAAAAAGAGTAATCAATTTCCAACCAAGCTGTTAAAGGGTCATTCTGTTTTTTTGGACAAGTCGAAAAAAAAAATTGCTGAAAAACTATAATACCAAAATCTAAAGAAATGTGTCCCTGGACTTATCTTAAAGTTTTAACGAAAAAAACAATCCTGCCGTTAATTTTTATTGCCAAAACTATTAAGAGAAGGCTAACCATTAATCAGGAAATCAGTCTTGATTAGTTAGAAATAATCTTTAAGAGCAGTTATGCAGTACCACAAACAACTTTAACTGTTAAATGAAGCGTGCAATGCTAAGTAAAGAATGCTAAGCAATGAGATGTTATCAAGTTACTGGAATAGCTGGATATATTTAATTATTCACTATTTGTTTGTATTGGTATACTTCTAGTTTTAAAACAGGCTAGGTCGATCAATATTTTGTTCAAGTATATAGTTTTAAATATATTTATATACCAGAACCACCATTTAACTTCTGAGTAAACAACTATTCAGACAATAACTTCAAATCTTTTTAGAAAGTACTGATATTTTCATTTTTTTTAATAAAATAGCATTTCTGTACATCTGCAAAAAAATTCACATGGCATTTTCAAACAAATTTTCAGATTAATGAAATGGCTATAAAGATTTAGTCATGTGTATGTTATATTGTTTTTTTTCTATATTATTTACAAGATGTTAAATTAATATCATTTCTAGTTCAACCACAACAACTTTTTTTTAACATTTTATCAAATAGTCTGAGAAAGCTATCAACACACTGCCTGGCTTTAGGGCATCAAATTAACTTCAGTTGCATGGTAAT